CTGAGAGATGGAGGAAGGCTTCCTAGTGGAGGTGAGGCTTTCTCTTTTTTGAAGAGCAAGTGAAAGTCCTTTAGGCAAAAAGACTGAAAGAGAAAATGAGCAGACCCAGATGCAGGGAGCTGTGGGTGGCCCTCCAGAGAATTATGGATGGCTTGAACCACAGAGTTCAGATAGAAGATATTCAGGGGGTGACAACAAAAGGAAAGGAAGGGTCTGGTACAACTGGCAAAGGGCCTCTTGAGAGAATTCTCTACCTTTATTATCGTTGGGATAATGTAAATGGATGGACATGGGACACTGTAAAGCCCAGTAGAAATACAGGATATGTGCCTGTTAGCCTCTTGTCTTCTGTGTGCTCCCTGAGTTAGAATGTAACATTAATGGAGTCAGAGGCCAGAGTCAACGCCCAAAGACTTGTCCCAGTTTCAGTTCTCAGATGTACATTTTAATCCAGTGGCTGTCTTGCAGGTGGAGTTTGTTAGGTAACAGACTTGGGAGCCGTCATGACTCAGAGATCACAGTTTGATGTCAGAGCCCCCACAATCAGGAAAGGACCACAAAATTTTGTTCTTTCTGAGCTTTTTAATTTGAAATTATTCCAGACTCACAGGGAGTGGCATAATTAGTACATAGAGACCTGTACACCTTTACTCAGCATGCTCCCATGGTAACATCTTATATAGCTATAGTATTAGTATCAGGAAGCCACTATTAGCACAATGCAGTGAAGGCTTTTTGAAGACACATACAAGCTTCTCACAAAACTGAGGGAAGGCTCTACAGATTCTGCAATTAAAAAAATCCTCGCTGGCTATTTTATTACAAAAGTTATTAGCTCATAGTTCAAAAAAACAATTCATACCACTGGACAAATGACAGAAAACTTATAGAAAAAAAATCAAGATGGCTTTTTACACTATAAAAAATAGCATCACATTTATAATTTTTTAAATATGCAAACAGGGACTTCCCTGGTGGTCCAGTGACTAAGCCTCAGAGTTCCCAATACAGGGGGCCCTGATTCGGTCCCTGGTCAGGGAACTAGATCCCACATGCCACAACTAAAGAACCCACATGCTGCAACTAAAGAACTCCTACACCACAATGAAGATTGAAGATCCCACATGCTGGAACTAAGACCTGGTGCAGCCAAATAAACATTCTTTAAAAAATAAATAAAATATGCAAATTAAACCTGTAATGAGATACCATGTTTTCTTCTCAAAGTCTGATAATACACAGTGTTGGTCTATGACTGGGTGATATAGGCACTAGGAAATGTTGCTGCAGCAGATAAACTGGTAGAGTCTTGCTGGAGGGCAGTTTGAAAAGACCCAACATTTCTCCTTCTGGGAATTGATTATAATATGTGCTCATGTGTGCAGAATGACATTTATAATAGGATATGTGTTGCGGTGACGCTTATTGTAGTGAAAGAACAGAAATAGTTTACATTCTGTCTACAGGAGAGGGACTCAAGCCACAGAAACAGGGATTGTGCAGTCATAAAGGTGGAGGAAGCTCTTGTTGTACTGACAACAAACTTGAGGATACATTGTTAAAGAAAAAAGTGAGGCACAGAATAATATGTATTGTTTGCTACCATTTGTGTTTAAAAAGAGGAAGGACGGGGAGAAATACATACATATATGTGACCTGGCATGTGCATAAAATATCTGGAAAGATACACAAGGGAATGTGAAGATGGTTGTCACTGAGGAGAACTCAGGGAGACTTGTTCTAAAAGTATGAGCTATTGGGATTTCCCTGATAGTTCAGTGGTTAAGACTCCATGCTCCCAATGCATGGGACACAGATTTTATGCCTGGTCAGGGAACTGCAAACCCCCATGCTGCCCAATGTGGCTGAAAATAAATAAAAAATAAAGTAATATAAAAAATAATGTTATTTCTTACATTAATTTACCTTGCATCTTTTGTTTTAAATTTCCTTTGCTTCCTTCCCTACCCAGAGGTAACTTTTGTTCCTGAACTTGGCATTTGTCTTCCTCTTGAATGTTTTTAAACATAGTACATATTACTGCATATGCATATGTAATATGTGTGTATCCATGGGTATGTATCCATAAACAATATATCACATTGTTTTACATGTTGGACATTTCTTTCTGCAGTATGCTTTTTCCATTTAAGATCTTGAAAATATTTTCCTGTATTGATACATGTCGCTCTTATCCATTCATTTAAACCACTGTGTAATATTCCATTGCTTAATATAGCCCAGCTGATTCATTTGTCTGCTGATGGGCATTTAGATTATTTCCCAGTTCTTCAAACAGTGCTTCAAGTCCCATTCTTATATGTATCTCCTTGCCTACCTGTGAAAAAATTTCTCTGGGCCAATGAGCATCAAACATTTTTGCTACATACTTTTAGCAGTAAAAATATTTTTGCTTTGCATACCTAGCATATGAATATGTATTTATGAATTACATAATAGTGTAAACCACTATACAAAATTAGTATGTTCATCATAAGATATATAAGAAGGAAACTTAGAAAGGGTGGTTAAGGACTTCCCTGGCAGTCTGGTGATGAAGACTCCACGCTTCCAATGCAGGCAGCCCAGGTTAGATCCCTGGTCAGGGAACCAAGATCCCACGTGCCATACGGCACAGCCAAAAAATAAATAACGAAAGGTTGATTTAAAAGAGAAATAATATGTTATAAATATTTATTTGTTTTTCGTACCAAAATACTTAGTGAAAATAATGTGGCTGAATATGCTTCATTCCTTTCCTACCTTATTACTATTTAAAATTTTTGATTGTAAATGCTCATAGCATAAAATTTACCATCTGAACTACTTTCAAGTGTACACTTGAATAAGGCAAAGGATTCATTACTGGCAAGAGTTCCTCTTGAACTTCAGTGATTTTTCTCAACCATTGGCCAGCTAACTCCTCACTGAACCTGAAAGTTTGTACCTGGAGTGTTCACTTGTGTGTGTCATTCGGATTATTTGTAATCTTAACTTTGCTTCTTTGGACAAATCTTATTAAGCCTCTTATTCACTTCTGGGAGTTAGGAAAATCCAGATAGCATAATCTGTAAATTTATCTGGGGATGTGTAAATTGTGGGGAACAGTGTAAAACCAACTCAAGCCAAACTCTGCAGAGAAAACACAGACAACCTGTCTAGGTAGGAAGCGCCCTTACCCTTTACCCAGATAGCTCAGTTGCTTTACTGTGTAAGCCGGGATCTCTGACAAGAGCATATGAGGACACCAGCATTAGCCTGCTTACTAAAGATTATTAAGCTTGCTTGTTTTTCTCTTAAATAAAAAAATATATTTAGGATTTCCCTGGTGATACAGTGGATAAGACTCCGCCTACCAATGCAGGGGACACAACTTCGATCCCTGGTCCAGGTAGATTCCACATTTTTGTTGTTTAGTGGCTAGGTCGTGTCTGACTCTTGTGACCCCATGGACGGTCCATGAGATTTCCCAGGCAAGAATACTGGAATGGGTAGCCATTTCCTTCTTCGGGGGATCTTCCCAACCCAGGGCTCAAAAACCTGCATCTTCTCCTTGGCAGGCAGTTCTTTACCACTGAGCCAGCCAGGAAGTCCAGATATCACAGGCAACTAAAGCCTGAGAGTCACAGCTACTGAGTCCATGCTCCAGAACCCAAGAGCTGAAACTCCTGAAACTCCTGAAGCTGAACTAGAGCCTGTGCTCTGCAACAAGAGAGGCCACTGCAATGAGAAGCCTGTACACAGCAACCGAGACCCAGCACAGCCAAAAGTAAATAAAAATGTAAATACTAATGCTTTCTTTTGGCACCTCTGTGAATATCTTGTGTCTGAGGGGTGCACACCTCTCTTCAGAGACCAGGATATATCAAGAAACAGAATTGCTGGGTTGAAGGGCATGAGCCTTGCTGGCTACCACCATATTGCTCTCCCAAGCGCTTGTTCCAGTTTACATTCCCTTGCCTTCATGTTTTTACTAAAACTTGCTTTTAATATAGTTTAATTTTTGCTAGTGAAAAGGGTGTGAAAGAGCTTCTAATTGTTTAATTTGCATTACTAGCTTAGGCTTAATTTGCATTTAATTACAATTGAGTCTGAGTACTTTTTATATATTTATCAGCCATTAAAATTTCCTCATTTTTTTTGTTTCTTTTGTTTATCTGTTTGTTTGTTGGCTGCACCAGGTAGCATCCGGGATCTTAATGACCAGGGATCAAACCTATGTCCCCTGCGTTGGGAGCTTGGAGTCTTAACCACCGGACTGCCAGGGAAGTCCAAAATTACCTCATCTTTGAATTGCCTGTTTATATCCCTTGTGGGTTTTTCTATTAGATTATTTGTCTTTGTCATGCTCATTTGTAGGAATCTACTTTTTCTTTCCTTTTTTCTTAATTTTTTCATTGATCTTATTAATTTTTCTTAATTTCATTAATTTCTATCTTTTATTATTTCTGACTATCCATAATCTTTGGGCGTACTTTTCATTTTCTGACCTCTCAAGGTGAACACTTAGCTAATTCATTTTCACTCTGATTTTCTAATATAGCATCCACATTTAAGGTCATACTTTCTCTCTACTTACTTTAGCTGAATTTTACAGCTTTTAAAAAGGAATTTAGCAGCTTTTGATCTATAGTTTTTCATTGGTGAGGTTCTAAGTACACTGCAATTTCCATTGTTTTATCGTTCTACCATGAATTATTTAGAAATGTGGTTTTTAAAATTCCAGAGTAATGTGTTTTGTTTTACTCTTTAAAAAAACTTAACTTTTTGTTGTTGATTTCTAACTTCATTTTGTGGTCATAGGATGTGTTCTGTATGATACTGGTATTTTGGCATTGGTTGATACTGTAGTGGCATAGTTCAAGTCAATTTTTTTAACATTCCATGTCCTTGAGAGTATTTTCTAATATTTATATATTAAAGTGTGTTAGTTATATCATTGAATCTTTTATTTATTTTTTAATTTTTTTTATTTTTGTCCTCCTGGATGGCGCATGGGATCTTAGTTCCTCAACCAGGGATCGAAGCCTGCATTGGAAGATGAAGTCTTTACCACTGGACCACCAGGGAATTCTCCTCATTGAATCTTTTATATGTTACTAGTCTTATTTTATTTTTGTTTCATCTATCATCTATTTTTAGGAGAAAAGTATCTTAAAATTTCCTTATATATTGTAGATTTTATAGTTTTTCCTTCCCTTTCTGGCTTATTTTGATGTTGTTAGAGTCATATAAGGACTAGGTTATTTAGTCCCTGGTAAACTGTTTATCATCAAAAATGACATCTGTATTCCTAATAATCCTTTATCTCTCAAAATCTATTCTGTCAGATTTTAATATCACTGTATCAGATTTCCATTTACCCTACATTGAGAAGCAGCAGAAAACAACATGAAGAGCATGGATTCTGAAGTCAGGCTGCTGGGGTTCAAATTCCAGCACTAACACCTTTTAGGTATGTGACCTCAAGCCAATTTTTAACCTCAATATGAAATGGGTTTAGTTACTACCTACCTCAGAGGATTGTTATAAAGATTAATTACTATTTTTAAAGCATTTTGAATGTTATAGTATGCATTCCATATGTATTTGTAGCATTAAATAAATAGATATATGTGCATCCCTTTTCTGTGTCATTATTTTATAGATATTTGTCTAATAAACATCATATAGCTTCTAGATATGGTAATGCTTCAGTAAATACCTCTATTACAGAAGTCATATCTCGTATGTATGAGTGTATCTGTAGAAGAACTCCTAGACACAGGACTGCTGGGTGGAAAGATACATGCATTTATAATTTTCCTACAGCTTGCCAAATTGCCTTACACAGGAGTCTGGCCTACGTAAGGCAATTTGGCACTCTCCCGAGAAACTGATCTTCACCAGTCTGTTAAGTGAAAAATGGTATTTTGATATAGATGTCATTTGCATTTATCTTATTTTAAGTGAGGTTGAGCATATTTGAATGCTCTTTGTATTTCCCTTACTGTGATTGTTCCCATACCCATTTTTCAATTGGGTGGTTGATCTTTTCTGGATCTATCTGTACAAGTTTTTTAGATATTGAAAAATCAATCCTTGCTCTTATGGTATGACTGATTTTTCTTCTAAGCACTTCCCCTCAGGAATCAAAAACAACCAGAAAGAACAATTTGAATTACTATCTCAAAATATTTTCTGCCAAGTAGTAAATATTCTTTCCCAGTGGCTCTGATGGTAAAGAGTCTGCTTACAATACAGGAGACCCAGGTTCAATCCCTGGGTGGGGAACATCCTCTGGAGAAGGGAATGGCAACCCACTCCAGTATTCTTGCCTGGAGAATTCCATGGACAGAGGAGCCTGGCAGGCTATAGTCCATACGGTCACAAGGAATCGGACACAACTGAGTGACTTACACACACAGTAAAAGCTACCCTTTTCTGTTCACAGACTTTGCTAAACACATCTTTAATCTTTAAAACCTCACTGCCAGGTAATTATTATCTTCACTTTACAAATGAAAAAAAAATGAAGATCAGAGAGATTAATATTTTTTCACTCATTTAACAACATTCATTAAGAATGTACTACATTCTTGGGACTTCCTTGTTCATCTACTGGCTAAGACCCCATGCCCCCAATGCAGCAGGCCAGAGTTCGATCCCTGGTCAGGGAACTAGCTCCCACATGCCACAGATAAATAAAGACCCTGAAGATCTTGTGTGCTGTTAATTAAAACCCAGCACAGCCAGATAAATGAGTTTAAAAAAAAAAAGAAGAATCTACTACATTCTTAATTTGGGGATATAGCAGTGAGTAAAACAGAAAAGGTCCTTGTTCTATAAACTTAACCTTCTGGGGGGAAATATAGACCACAAACAAGTAAACTACCATTAGGTTGGGCAGTCTCAGAAGTCCTATCTGAAAAAAATGAGATTTGATCTGATGCCTAAAAGGACAGAGAAGATCTGGGAAATGGAACCATTGATGCAAAGGTCCTAAGGCAGGAATGAGCTAGGTCCGTTCAAGACTCAAAGAAGTTTGGTCTGAGGAGCAAACTGGGAAAGCCGCTGGCCACTGGGAATTTTTTAAAAAAGGAATTTGATCTGATTTTGTCAGTGAAGATAAGGTTAAGTTCTGGTTTTAGGCCCTTTTCGTTTTTGTTTTTTGGCTGCACAGCTTTTGAGATCTGAACCCGGGCCCTAGGCAGTGGCAGGCCGGAATTCTTAACTACTGGACAGCCAGGGAATTCCCTCCCTTTTACATTGTTTAAAATGGAGACTCCCAAACAGCTTTTTTGTTTATGTGTACATTTGTTAATCTATTGCTGTGTAACAAATCACCTCAAAATTTAGGGACTTAAAACAACATTAGTCATTTATTTTCTCAGTTTCTGTGGGCCTGCAACTTAGGAGCAGCTTGGCTGGAATTTTTCTGACTTGGGGTCTCTTGTGAGGTTGCAGTCATCTGAAAACTAGGCTGAAGGATCTACCTGCCAGATGGCTAGGCCACAGATGGGGAGGTCGGGGCCAGCTGTTGGCAGGAAGCCTCGGTTCCTCTCCACGAGGAGCCTCTCCACAGGCATACTTGAGTGCCCCCATCTTATGGCAGCTGGCTTCCTCCACAGCAGGCATCCGAGAAAGAGCAATGAAGATATTGAGATGTCTTTTATGACCTAACCTCCAGAGTCACACATTGTCGTTTCCTCAATACTCCATTGGTACAGAGGCTCCCCAATGATCCAGTGGTTAAGAATCCATCTGCCAATGCAGGGTAGATGGGCTCGATCCCGAGTCTGGAAAGATTCCACTTGCTGCAGGGCAGCTAGGCCTGAATGCCACAACCACTGAGCCTGTGCTCTAGAGCTTGTGCTTTACAATAAACAAGCCTCCACAGTGAGAAGCCTGCACATCGGAACTAGTGAGTAGCCCCTATTCACTGCGACTTGAGAAAGCGTGTGCAACAGTGAAGACCCAGCACAGCCGAACATAAATAAATAAACATTTTTGAAAATACTCTATTGGTATATAGCCTTACTGGATGTGAGTATGACTATCAGGGGGGCTTCCCTGGTGGTTCAGTGGTCAAGAATCCACCTGTCAATGCAGGAGACTTGCAGGAGACTTGAGTTGGATCCCTGGGTCAGAAAGATCCCCTGGAGAAAGAAATGGCAACCCACTCAAGTATTCTTGCCTGGGAGATCCCATGGACAGAGGAGCCTGGTGGGCTACATTCCATGGGGTCACAAAAGAATCAGACAAAATTTAGCGATTAAACAATGATGATCAGTAGTCAAGGATAGTCATTGCAGGCCATCTTTGAGACCAACTACCACCATGTGGGTATCTTTAAATTTGTACTAATAAATATATTTTATGTATTTCTGTATATACTTATAAAATCATATTTGATGTTTACCATATTAGAAAGTAAAACAAGTTTAAAATGCATTTATTCATTTCAAAATAAGCCCACTGTGTGTTAAGATAAATGATGCATTTTCTTAAGCACTTAAAAAAATTTTTTTTTGACAGGTACACACTATGATATTTTAAAATTTATTTTTGGTGTTACCGTTCTCTAGTTGCGGAGAGCAGCGGCTACTCTCTAGTTTCAGTGCACAGGCTGCTCACTGAGGCGGCTCCTCTTGTGGAGCACAGGCTTTAGGCACACGGTTTCAGCAGTTGTGGTGCTCAGGCACAGTAGTTGTGGTGCAAGGACTTAGTTGCTTTGAGGCACATGGGATCTTCCCGGATCAGGGATCAAACCCACGTCCTCTGCCTTGGCAGGCGGATTCTTATCCACTGCACCACCAGGGAAGTCCCAATGATGCATATTTGATGGAATTAAAAGAGTGACATTATTTTACATTTCTGCAAATCTTTTAAATATCTGCTATAATGAAAAAGCGCTAGATTCTCATTTTTGCTTTTGCATACTCTATTGAACATTCATGACACGATGAGAGCAAAAATGAATAATCATGTTAGTATCATTGTAAAAAGAGTTTCGACCTCATGGAACTTTCTGAAAGGGCTGAACCACACTTTGAGAAACTTGAGCTAGATTCTGGTTGTTGTTGTTTAGTCACTAAGTTGTGTCTGACTCTTTGCAACCCCGCAAACTGTAACCCACCAGGCTCTTCCGTGGTATTTCTCAGGCAAGAAATAACTGGAGTAGATTGCCATCTCCTGCAGGGGATCTTCCTAACCCAGGGATCAAACCCTGCATGTCTACTGCAATGTCTACTGCATTGGCAGGCAGATGCTTTACCACTGAATCACCTGGGAAGCCCCAGGTAATAAATGATGCCCAAATCTCAGTAGCTTACAACAACAAAGGTTTATTTCTTGCTCATGCTACCTGGAGAAGGAAATGGCAACCCACTCCAGTACTCTTGGCCTGGAGAATTCCATGGACAGAGGAGCCTGACAGGCTACAGTTCATGGGGTCACGAAGAGTCGGACACGACTGAGCAACTATCACTCATGCTACATGTCAGTTATGGCTTGCCCACGGTTCTGTTGAAAGTCTTCTTCACTAAGGAACCCATGTTGACAGGGTACTCTCTGACTGGACATTGCTAGATAAGGGAAAAGAGAACTTGATAAACCAGCCTGGCTTTTAAACTTATTCTTGGAAGTGATGTGTCACTTGTTTTCTTTTTTTTTCATCCCAAAGCAAGTCACATGGCCAAGCTTGGGTTCCCCAGGAACTCAAATCTTCTGCAGGGAGAGGCCCCACTGGAAGGGAGACAAGGTGTTTGTGGTACATACACTTCTACCATGGGTTTAATGAACAATGCTGGTTGCTCATGGAACATGGATTATACTGGGAAGAGGTAGAAAGCTATTTAAGCATAGAAGTATGTTAGGAATTAACTGCAGTACTTTGGGCAAGAAATTAGTGGCTGGGTCTGATTTAAGAGGTACTTTGGAATTGGTAGAATTTGTTTTGGGAGCAGGGTGGGGGTAAAGGAAAGTTCTGAAAGATAAATTTTTTTTTTTTTTTACAAAATAGGTTTGAACTGAGTGGATAATGAGTTGGGGTAAGGGTAGGTGAGGAGGTTTTTTTGCGGGGGGGGGGGCAGTGGAACAAATGTTGAACTTGTTAAGCCTGAAGTGCGTAGTCTTCACCTAAATGGAAATAACCAGTAGATACTTGGCCATATGTCTGGAGATCTGGGGAGAAGTCAGAACTCAGGCGTTAACACAGAGCTGAATTGTAAAGTTATGGTGTTGGAAGAGATCTCCTTGGGAGAAAGTGTTAATAGGGAAGAGAAGAGGGCTAAAAGCTAAAGCCTTGGTGCACACCAACATTTATAAGTGGAAGTGGCATCGGATCCAGCAAACGAGATGGAGAAGCCCATTGCGCTAAGGTGAAAATGGGTAGAAATGGAAGCAAAAGGAAGAAAGTGTTTAAAGAAGGAGGAAGTAGTCTGTTTCAATGTTCTAGAAGTCAGCTAGGGGAAAATGGAAGTCACAGTTGGCTGGGTAAGTACGCTTTTGATAGAGAGGTGAGAATCAAGCTCTAATCAGAACTGGAGAAAACATGCAAGTGGGGAATGAAGCCACCACTTTTGAGATTTGTTTTGTTTTGGGGGTGGGTGGATAAGTGGAAAATAAGAGGAGACAAAAGATGTGAAGATGAAATTCTATGTATGTGAAATCTTTGTGTAAACTGTAAACGCTGTATCTATAAGCGTTAGGTTTATTTTGTTATTATTGAACCCCTAGGAATTTCAAACTAGCTCAATGTGAAGAATCACTAAGACGCTACTGCTAGTCCCCAGCTCGCTGGCTATTAAACCCCAAAAGATCTCAAGCCTATGAAAAGTGGACAGATGAAGAGACAGAAAGAGCAGAGTGAAAATTGAAGGGGAAGAGAGGTTGGCCTGCTAATATTGTCCTCCGAGGGCCCCCGTATGGCAGTCTCACAGCGCTTACGTAATTTTAGGGGCGGGGCAAACAGGAAATTTAAACCGAACCCGCGGTCGAGGGCGCCTAGAGAATATGCTGTAGTTGCAGAGAAGCAGTCGGTGCCCGCGAGCCTGAAAGAGCCCATGGAGCCCGCGATCGGGATACGGTGGCCTTGAAGGAGTACGGAGGCCGGGAAAGAGCAGAGAATTGGAGGAGGGATCCGGGAAAGGGTACGGATGCCGAAAAGCGGAAGAGGGGGTAAGAAGGAAGGTGGAAAGGGTCAAAGGAGTTGAAGAGGGGTTCGGGTTTGGAAAGTGGGCACAGGAATTGGGAAGCAGATAGGTTACGGGAGCTGGGGAGGGTAGAGGGACCGGGGAGGGGTCGTAGGAATTGAGGAGACAGAGGTCTAAAGGGGCGGAGGATCTGGGGGAACAAGAGCCTGGAAGGAGGCGCGGGAGTTGAGAAGGGATGTGGGTTGGGATGGAGTTGAGTCTTGGGGTTCCCGGGAACCTCGATGGAAATTGTGCAGGATTTGGGAGGTTGGAGGAGGGGATGATGGAAGGTCGAAGATTAGTGGAGGTGGTTCACCTGATGTTTTGTCCTTTTTCAGGCAACGATCGCCTTCAGCTGGAGAGTTCAATGGATGAGAGTAAGCTACGGGCTCCGGACCCAGGTAGGTAACAGGGCCAAAATGAAGTTTCGAGGTCACAGTTGGTACTCCTGCCCCAGAGTCTCTTGGGAAGAAAAGGCCGAGAAATGTTAGCTCTCTTGGGGTTTTCTAGTTACTGTGTGTGTGTGTGTATGTGTGTGTGTGTGTGTGTGTGTGTGTTGGGAGGGGGTTGTTTGTGTTGAGGGATGTCATGATAAAGGTCAGGATGGAGTAACTTATTAAACCTATATTCATGGTTACTTTTACCATAAAATTCTTAAATTTATTGATAAACTTAAAGAGCCCCACCCAATTAGATAAGTATTTTAGCACTAGTCACTTCTCTCAATGCTCCCTTCTGCCCTCTTAGTATCACCTAGTTTGAGTTCTGGATTTTTACAGATATGCCATTTCATTGTTGCCTTTTAAATGGTGATATATTTCACTAAATTATTCACTCTCCCTTCCCATGTGGTGTTGCTTTCTTCTGGATCTAGTTCTCTTCTTGCTGATGAACTTCCTCCAAGCATATTTTCGAAAGGGGGCTTTATGTGATAAACTTTTTGAGGCTTGTATGCCTGAGAACATCTTTATTTCACTCTTGTATTAAAGTTCTTGAGTCAGTTTTTTTCTGTTCAACACATTGAAAAGTGGCAGTGGTCTCTTCTTGCTAAAAAGTAGATGTTGTTGAGAATTGATGTCAATCTGATTCTTGTTCCTTAGTGTATGACCTGCTTTCCCCTGTAGAAGATTTTAGGTTATTCTCTTTGTATTTGTTCTTAAAATTCACAATAACATAACTGTGTTAATTTCAGAGGGTTTTAGTTTTCATAAAAATGAAAATACAAGAATTGAAAACATGCAGGTCAAGAAGCAACAGTTAGAACCAGACATGGAACAACTGACTGGTTCCAAATTGGGGAAGGAATATGACAAGGCTGTATATACAGAGAACATCATGCAAAATGCCGGACTGGATGAATCACAAGCTGGAATCAAGATTGCCAGGAGAAATATCAACCTCAGATATGCAGATGACAACCCTCTAATGGCAGAAAATGAAGAGGAACTAAAGAATCTCTTGATGATGGTGAAAGAGGAGAGTGAAAAAGATGGCTTAAAACTCAGCATTCAAAATACTAAGATCATGGCATCTGGTCCCTTACTTCATGCCAAATAGAAGGAGAAAAAGTGGAAAAATGACAAATTTTATTTTCTTGGACCCCAAAATCACTATGGACAGTGACTACAGCCATGAAATTAAAAGACGCTTGCTCCTTGGAAGAAAAGCTATGACAAACCTAGAGAGCATATTAAAAAGCAGAGGCATTACTTTGCCAACAAAGGTCTGCATAGTCAAAGCTATGGTTATTCCAGTAGTCATGTAAAGATTTGAGCGTTGGACTGTGAAAAAGGCTGAGCACCAAAGAATTGATGCCTTCAAACTGTGGTGCTAGAGAAGACTCTTGATAATCTCTTGGACTGCAAGGAGATCAAACCAGGCAATCCTAAAGGAAATTAACCCTGAATATTCATTGGAAGGACTGATAACTGAAGCTGAAGCTCCAATATTTTGGCTACTTGATGCAAAGAGCTGACTCATTGGAAAAGACCCTGATGCTAGGAAAGATTGAAGGCAAAAGGAGAAGGGGGTGGCAGACATGAGACAGTTAGATAGCATCACTGACTTAATGGACGTGAAGTTGAGTAAACTCCATGAGATAGTGGAGGACAGAGGAGCCTGGCATGCTGCAGTTTATGGGGCTGCAGAGTCAGACACAACTTAGCAACTGAACATCAACCATTCATCTGCAAATGGTTGTGCACATTGCTCTGTTTTTTAAAAATTCTTATTTTTTTATTTTTGACTGCACTGGGTCTTCTTTTCTACTAAGGCTCTTTCTAGTTTCGTCCAGGAGGGTCACTCTAGTTGCCGTGCACAAGCTTCTCATTGCAGTGGCCTCTCCTGTTGCAGAGCACGGTCTCTAGGGCATGCGGCCTCTAGAGCACAGGCTCAATAATTGTGTCTCAGGCTCAGCTGCTCCAAGGCATGTGGGATCTTCCTGGATCAGGGGTCAAACCCATGTCTCCCGCATTGGCAGGTGGATTCTTTACCACTGAACCACCAGGAAAACCCTAGCTGGGATTACTTTTTAATGTTAATCTCTGTTGGGTGATGGGGGTAATGGGTTCTTAATCCACATGACTAGTATGAATTTGAACTCCAGTCTCTTGGGAGGCTTGTACTTTGGATTTTCAGTGAAGATTTTCCTTTCATGTGGAGCCCAGGCTAAGGTAGGCAGTATTCCTTTTTTGTCTTTTCTAGCGGATGGATTCTTTTCTGGCTTCCCTTTTCTTTGAGATTCATGCAGGAGTTCCCAATCTTCACTCCCCACTTTAGGCTTGCACAAGACCTCATCTCTAGGGCTCTTGTGGTTCTTCAGTCCCAAACTGTTTGCTTTTAAGTCCACAGACTCCCTCAGGGCAGTCAGCATTCACTTTCACCACTGTGGTTTTCAACTTTCTCATCATGTGGGGCACTTTTGTTGTCTTCTTACTAATTTTGTGGACTTAGCAGTTAGATAGGATTGGTATTTCTATTTCAGCTGATATTTTTAGATACTTGTGTTAGGAGGGCTTTTAGGTAACCTGCTCTCCAGTATTACCTGAAATGAAGCCAAACTCCTCTCTTTCTCTGCAGCGTCCTGAAATTTCATGAATAGTGTGCCATGGGACTTTTTTCATTCATGGAGCTAGCACCTGGTAGAAACTTTCAACCTGGAGGCTCATGTTCTTTAGTTTCTTTGTGTGGATTACCACATTTTATCCATTCATTAGTTGATGGACAGAAGAGTTTTATGTTTCCTGGCTATTATGAATAATACTGTTATAAATATTTGTTTCCAGGTTATCATTTTTTTCTTTGAATGTATACCTAGAAGTATAATTGCTGGGTCCTATGGTAAGTCTCTGTTTAACTTTTTGAGGAACTGGCAGACTTTCCCCATTGACTACCCCATTTACATTCCCACCAACAAAGTATGAGGGTTCCAGTTCTGTGGGTCCTCACCAACACTTGTTATTATCTGTCTTTTTTTGTTAAAGCCATCCTAGTGGGTTTGGCATAAGATCCTATAGCTCAGGGTTTAGAGCACTGGTCTTATAAACCAGGTGTCGGGAGTTCATATCGCTGGGGCCTGCTAAGCATTTCTCTTATTGGACTTGCCTCGTGGCTCAGATGGTAAAGAATCTGCCTGCAATGCAGGAGACCTGGGTGGGATCCCTAGGTTGGGAAGATCCCCTGGAGGAGGGATGGCAACCCACTCCAGTATTCCTGTCTGGAGAATCCCCAATGGACAGAGGAACCTGGCAGGCTAAAGTCCATGGAGTCGCAAAGAGATGGACAGGACTGAGGGACTCAGCACACAGACAGTGGGTTTCAAGTGGTATCTCTTTGTGGTTTCAATTTACATTTTCCTAACAAGGCTAATGACCTTGTGTATCTTTTCATGTGCTTATTGGTCATTTGTATACCTTTGGAGAAATGTCTATCTGTTGCTTATTTTTAAAACTGGGTTTTTTAAAAATTATTATTTGAGGTGTTTTTTAATTATTGTGTTTTTTTATATCCCTTATCTTCAATTAATTAATTTATTTACCTGCTGTTCTTCTTTTATGTTTCTAGTATGCTCCTTGCCTTCCTGAGATATTTATTATGCTTTAAAATTCTTCTTTCTGTCTGGTCCATTACTTATGACAGTAGGACAACCTATGCCAAAGAAAGCTTCTTTTATAGTACTTGCTTTCTTCGGTTGCCTCATATTTTCTTAGAAGCTAATGTTCCCTTGAGACTGCTAGCCACTCTAACTGATAATGTGCTCCTGGAAGGAAGATGCAAAAGCTTAGGTTCTGTGTTATGCTCCTCCTTTGAGTTCAGGGGTTGGGGTTTGGTTAGAGGAGGAAAACCACCCTAAGGTGGGGAGCCCCTGGTTCCAATGTGGGCTCAGTCACCACCACCACCCCCTAATACATGTGTTCCCTTGTACTACTTATTTGCAAGAGCTGCTGTTTTCCTTGAGTTGTAATTTCCTAATTCAGCAAATGAATAGTGAGGAGGGAGGAAAGTTCATTTGTGCCAACCAGCTCACTGACCTCCTTGACTTCACAACTCCCCTTGACCCTGACCTTTTGTTAACTGCTTCTCACACACACACACACACACACTCACTCACACTCACACTCCACCACTGCCCTGATATTACCCTACCGTCTCTGGTTGGTGCTGGACTGCTTACCTGCACTGGCTGCAGGCAGGCAGGGACCCGCTGAACACAACTAGAAGCTATTCTCCAGTCTCACCCTCCTGCGAGTCCTGGCCTCTTCCGCTCTAGGCGTGCTGTTCGCCCAGCACAGTGCCGCCCGCACCCGCACGCCAGTGTCTGACTCTGCCGTTCATCTCATCTAATTCCTTCTTTCTTCAGAGATTTCCCTAGGATTAGGTCCTCTGGAGAAAGTTGTAGGCCTGTGTGAATGTCAAAAGGGCTTACTCTGAGAAAGCCCTCTATACAAATATTGAATCATTATGTTGTATCCCCTGGAACTAATATAATGTTGTATGTCAGTTAGACTGCTCAATAAAAGGAAAAAGAGGACCTTCCCTGGTGGTTCAGTGGTTTAGACTTCACCTCCAAATGCAGGGGTTACCGGTTCAGTCCCTGGCTGGGGAGCTACGACCCTTCATGGCTCACCTTCTGGAGAAGATGGCCTTGGGGAGGGACCCAAAATGGCTAAAGTTAGAATAATGCCCTGGCCTGACATCCAGCTGGTATTTCTGGTATGGCTGGATCAGATGTTTCTGGCCAGTCTCCATCCTGAGTGCTTATTAAGTATTTGAATAGCTCCTAAATACTATTACCTGACACCATTTATGATATTTTACTTATCCCATATGGACTGCCCATGAGAGTGGGTGTTTATTATTACCACTGTTTCAGAAATGAGGAAATAGAGACTGAGACATCCTAAGTGAGATTACTGTGACTTACTCAGGGTTGCAGTTAGTAAGAGATGGAGGCAGGACTCAAGAACAAAGGCCTTTTCTGTTAAATGCCAAGCTGACTTTCCAGTTTTCGGTCTCTATATACCTAGGACTTTCAGGAAAAGGGAGGTTTACAGAACCAGAGGGTGAATGCTTGAAGGTCAGATGCTAGCTGAGGATGGGAAAGCAGGATCTAGTTTAAGCATTATGGGAATGGTAATCACATGTAAGTCAAACATCTTTTCCCAGGGACTCCTTGGTGGTGCCGTGGCTAATACTCCAAGCTTCCAATGCAGGGGGGCCTGGGTTCAGTCGGTGGTCGGGGAACTAGATCCCACATCCACAGCTAAAGATCCCACCTGACGAAACTAAGACCCAGTGCAACCAAATTAAAAAAAAAAAAAAAATCTCTTTCCCAAGTAGTTTTCGATCTAATGGAGACCCAAAGGAGTGAGTAAACAAGAATGTGAAGCTGAAAATACTACAAGGACAGATAATAAGTAATTTGTAACTCAGAAAAAGAAAAATAGTATCTCATCAGGGCAAGCAGGGTTTAACTAAGGAGGTCCAATTAAAAGCCTGGCTGGATGGTAGATAGGAGAGTTGCAGGAATTTATAGAATCAAAGAGTTTTAGAAAATTTTTAAAAATATCAGGTCCGGGGGCTTCCCTGGTGGCTCAGTGGTAAAGAATCCACCTGCCAATGCAGGAGACACAAGTTCGATCCCTGATCTGGGAAGATCTCACACGCCTCAGAGCAGCTAAGTCTGTGCTGCACAAATATTGAGCCTGTGCTCTGGAGCCCAGGAACCACAACTGTTGAAGTCCACATGCCCTAGAGCCCGTGCTCCACAACAAGAGAAGCCACCGCAGTCAGTATCTGTCCTCTTAGTTTTGTCAGGCTCATATTCTTGTTTACTCTCTCCTTTGGGTCCACCTCTGACTTCATTAGACCAGGAACTATTTTGGGAAGAGATTTTTCTCTTCATTCAGTTCAGTTCAGTCGCTCAGTCATGGCCGACTCTTTTCGACCCCATGCACTGCTGCACACCAGGCTTCCCTGTCCATCACCCACTCCTGGAGCTTGCTCAAACTCATGTCCATCAAGTCGATGATGCCATCCAACCATCTCATCCTCTGTTGTCCCCTTGTCCTCCTGCCTTCAATCTTTCTCAGCATCAGGGTCTTTTCCAATGAGTCAGTTCTTCACATCAGGTGGCCAAAGTATTGGAGCTTCAGCTTTAGCATCAGTCCTTCCAATGAATATTCAGGACTGATTTCTTTCAGAATTGACTGGTTTGATCTCCTTGCAGTCCAAGAGACTCTCAAGACTGTTCTCCAACACCACAGTTCAAGGTTCAAAAGCATCAATTCTTTGGCGCTCAACTTTCTTTATGGTCCAAATCTCACATCCATATGTAACTACTGGAAAAACCATAGCTTTGGCTAGACAGATCCTTGTCAGTAAAGTAATGTCTCTGCTTTTTAATATGCTGTCCAGGTTAGTCATAGCTTTTCTTCCAAGGAGCAAGCATTTAATTTCATCGCTGCAGTCACCATCTGCAGTGATTTTGGAGCCCAAGAAAATAAAGTCTGTGACTGTTGCCTTTTTCTCCCTATATATTTGCCGAGAAGTGATGGGACCAGATTCTATGATCTTAGTTTTCTGAATGTTGAGTTTTAAGCCAGCTTTTCATTCTCCTCTTTCACTTTCATCAAGAGTCTGTCTAGTTGTTCTTTGTTTTCTGCCATAAGGGTGGTGTCGTCTGCATACCTGAGGTTATTGATATTTCTCCCTGCCATCTTGATTCCAGCTTATGCTTCATCTAGCCCAGCGTTTCTCATGATGTACTCTGCATATAAGTTAAATAAGCAGGGTGACAATATACAGCCTTGACATACTCCTTTCCCAATTTGGAACCAATCGGTTGTTCCATGTCTGGTCTTAACTGTTGCTTCTTGACCTGCATACAGATTTCTCAGGAGGCAGATCAGGTAGTCTGGTATTCCCATCTCTTTAAGGATTTTCCACAGTTTGTTGTGATGCAGGAGACCCTGGTTCGATTCTTGAGTTGGAAAGATCTGCTGGAGAATGGAAAGGCTACCCACTACAGTATTCTGGCCTGAACAGTTCCATGGACTGTGTAGTCCATGGGGTTACAAAGAGTCAGGCACGACTGAGTGACTTTCACTTTCATTTTTTTCATTAATTAATTAATTTGACTGCCACTGGATCCCTATGGCATGTAGGATCTTAGTTCCCCAACCAGGGATTGAACTGGTGTCCCTTGCATTGGCAGGCAGACTCTTAATTACTGGACCACCAGGGAAGTCCTGATGGTTCATTGGTTTTTATTGCCAAAGAGGATTCCATCATATGAATATACTGCATTTTGCTTACTGTTTTATTCATGTTTGAATTGTTTCCACTTTGGGGCTACAGTGAATAATGCTGCTATGAACTTTATCTGGATGTATGTTTTCATTTCTCCTGGGAGTATGCCTAAGAATCCAGTTGCTTATGTTAACTCTATACTTAACCTTTTGAGAAACGGCTGCACTGTTGTCTAAAGTGGCTGCACCATTTTACCTTCCCAACATCCATGTATGAGGATTGGGTTTCTCTGCACCTGGGCTTCCCAAGGGCAGGAACCTCGTGTCCACCTTGGTGCCCAGGGCCTGGCGGCAGCGAAGGCTGCTTGACCCCCGGGGCTTTCTCTTACCTCAAGCTTTTCACTGTCTTCCCCTTTAACTGCTGTTTTCTAGGAGCTCAGCTCGGAGTCTCCAGTTGTCTGGGAAAATGCCAGAAGAGCTCACCAGATGCCAGGAGGCAGCCCTTTTCTGGAAAGTCCTTCTACTTGGATCTGCCTGCCGGCAAGAACCTCCAGTTCTTGACGGGGGCCATTCAGCAGCTGGGTGGGGTAGGTAACCTGCTTCTCCCCTGTGGTGCCACATGCCTTTGTGGATTATAGGGCCAGAGCTGGAGACGGGTTCTGCCTGTGACTTCCAGGTATTTTCAGGGGTATCACTGCATTTTCCAAAGCAGCTTAAATGTAAACCATTTTTTAAAAGTAAAGTTAATTTTTTTTTCCTAATTAAAAAAGTAATTTCTGTTCATTCTAGAATTCTGGAGAACTGGAACAGCAGAGTGGCACTGCTAAGGAGTGGACTTGTTGGGATAGGAGAAATGTGTGGCCATGAAATCATTTATCTTTTTGCCATATTACAGAAGGTAGACAGACATACTCCTTCAACCTATAGCTTTAAAGATTTTTTTAAATTGTGATAAAATTTATATGAGATAAAATATGCCTTTGTAACTGTTTATAGGTTCATTCTTCTTAATTTAAAAAAAGTTTTATTTTTTTAAAATTTTGGCTGCCATGGGTCTTTATTGTGGCACACAGGCTCAGTAATTGCAGCGTGTGGATTTAGTTCCCCAACAAGAGATGGAACCCATGTCCCCTGCATTGGAAGGTGGATTCTTAATCACTGGACTACCAGAGAAGTCCCAGTAAATTAATTACTTTTAGATTCATGGACATTAATTACATTCACCCTGTTGTATAACCATCACTCTGTGTTTCCCAAACTTTTATCACCCCAAACAGAAGCTCTGTAACCTTTAAGCAAGAACTTCCCATTTCACCTCCCCCTACCTCCCCAGAATTCACGTCTACATTATGTTTCTGAATTTGCCCATTCTAGATACCTTGTATCAGTGGGATCACTGATGTTGGTCCTTTTGTTTCTGGTTTATTATACTTTAAGGTAAAGGTTTCAAGGCTCACCCATGCTGTAGAGTAGATCAGAGTTTTGTTTCTCTCTCATGACTGAACAGTGCTCCACTGTATGGACAGACCACATTTTGCTTATCCATTCGTATGTTAATGGACACTCAGTTTGTTTCTGCCTTTTAGCTATTATGAATAAGGCTGCTGTGAACATGGGTAGACAAGTATCCCTTTGAGTCCCTATTTTCAATTCTGTTGGATGTATACCTCGGAGAGGAATTGCTGGGTCATGTGGTAATCCCTGTTTAGCTTTTGAGGGACCTCAGCTTCCTTTTTAAACCTAAGTGCCAGGTTTCTCCAGTCACACTTCAGAGAGATCATCCATCCTTCCTTTCACAGGTGTGCTGGAGCTGGCTGGTCCTGGCCCATGAGAACCAATTGTTAGCATCTCTTTCCAGGTCCACATTCAGTGATGTCATATGGCTATCTTGAAGTCAGCCCCAGTAGTAGTTTACCCCACAGAAACCAGCAAATGCTACAAAGCAGGGTTTTTGGGTTTTTTCCCCTTTTACCCCAAGAGTCCAGCATTAAGTGTTTGCCAGCTCACTACTGCTTATTTCCATCTTTTCTTCCCCCAGACATGAGTTGTGTCATGTGTTTCCAGCCCTGTTTTGGGTTTCTTAGGATGAGTCAGACCCTCTCAGTGTCATAAAGGGCTTTCAGGTAAGATGAGCGGATACTTATGCGGCTGAGTAATATCCAGAACCCAATTTTATTTCAGGCTCCTCTTGGTAGTGTGGTTAAGATGACAGACGCAGCATCTGGATGGCCCGGTGCATCTTCACAGCAAAATCACGGCTTAGCCAAGCTCTTGATCCTCCAGTCCCATCAGTGTGCTGTCACTCTGAGCAAACCCTAACTAGTCAAATATCAGAGCCCACGAGGCTCTGCTGGGAGGAGCTACAGTTCTGGAGTCAAGAACCTCTGTCCTGTACATAAGTCTTATTATATTTTGGAATGATGTCTTCTCCAGAGCCCAGCACAGGATTGCATCTGGTCTATTTAAGGACTTTGATTCTGGAGCTTCTGTGAGCCAACCTGATTTCCTTCCTCGACCTGTCAATATTGATGATTCTACTTCTGCCTTTTGGGTTTCAGCCTCCTCTGTGATCTGATTTCAGGTAATTGAGGGTTTTCTGAGCAAAGAAGTAAGTTACATCGTGTCCAGCCGCAAGGAGGCGAAGGCCGAGAGCAGCAGGACAAGTCACAGAGGCTGCCCCAGCCCCAGCGAGGTCACAGTGGACACACCGCCGAAAGGCAGCCGTGCCAGGCCCGCACAGAAGGCCATGGACCCAGTAAGAACCTCGTGGGGCGGGAAGGGTGTGTCTAATAAACGAAGGAAGTAGGCCTTTGTGAGCCTGCTCTTGACAGTTTCTGGTTTTAGTTTCATCTGGTTTATTTTAATCTCTCATTTGAATTCAGAGGCTGAAACTATCTTATCACAGCTCTGGATCCACACACCTCAGTGACATGCTGTCCCAATGCCCTCCCTTCCGTGATAAATATTCACTTTTCCTGGGACTCCAGAGTCTGAGATTCAGAAACAGTAGGGGAGGACTTTCCTGGTGGTTCGGTGGTTAAGAATCCACCTACCATTGCAGGGGACATGGGTTTGATCCCTGGTCCAGGAAGATCCCACATACGACGGGGCAACTAAGCCCATGGACCACAACTACTGAATTTGTTTTCTCTAGAGCTTGTGTTCTGCAACGAGAGAAGCCCACACACCACAGCTCGAGCAGCCCCTGCTTACCACAACTAGAAAAAGCCCACGTGCAGCATTGAAGACCCCGCGCAGCCAAAAATAAATGAACATTTTTTTTTTTTAAATAAGAAAAAGAAAGAAACAGTAGGGGAATAAACCAGAGAGGGCTTGTTAGGATCGACCAACACTTGTCTGCTGGGGAGTGCAAGCTTTTAAAGAGAGGTCTAAAAAAATAACAAAGAAGAAGAAGAGAGGTCTCAGGATCTTTGTAACACTTGCCCTCGGGTGAATTCAAAACGCCTCTCCCCAGGCTCCAGGCTGCAGCTCCCTGTGAGTGCCCCGAACCTGAGCTTGGCTTTACCTTTACCTCTGGAAGCTGCTCCCAGCTTTCCGAGGGGCATGACTCCCAGACGTCCTGGCCAGCCCCTGTGGAAAAGTGTGTTTGTGCGCAGGTGGTCTCCACAGCTCCCCCATCTCTCCTTTCTTCCGCCAGGTGCCTCTGAGCAGAGGGAAGGAGCTCCTGCAGAAGGCCATCAGAAACCAGGTGAGCCGAGGGGGCCGGGGTGGAGGCCGGTGTGTCTGATGCAGGGAGAGAATGAGCCCCGCAACCGAAGGTTCTTCTGAAGCTCTGACACAAAGGCACGTCCGGCCTGACGTGTAGCACTGTCATGATTTCCTCCTTTCTGACGAGGAAGTGGGGCTCAGAGGAGTTCAGTCATCTGTCCAGAGTCACCCGGGCTGGAGGTGGAAGAGCCAGGTTTTGACTCCATGATCTTAAGATCCTGGGAGAAATGCAGCGGGGCGTCTTTCGCACGTAGCTATTTATCCCTTCTGTGAGGACCCAGGGCCATCACAGTTGAGTGGCAGCAGGAGGAGTCAAGCTGATTTGCAGAGGAGTAATTCAAGTGCCGTCAGGCGGGTGCCCCGGCCGTGGGCTGGGACGCAGGAGGGTGGTGTGGCCAGCATAGCTTCCTGTTCGATGAGATGACTGTCACAGGTGTTTACTGTGTCCCTCCTGTGGGCTCAGAGCGTTCCTCGCAGAGGCTCTCCTGACAGGCTGCTCGCATGAACACACATATCCTTCCTGGTCCTGAGGTGGCCGGAGCAGAGCCACCAGCCAGATCAGCCGTCCGTCCCCTCCCAAGGTGGCCAGCCCGTGTGGAAGGACAGGGTCCTCCCAGGGGTTGGAGTCGACTCTCCAGGCTCTGTGCTTGCTCCCCTGCCCACCTTCTCGCAACAGCCCCGCACACGGGTGACCCGGAGCTCCCAGAAGCCAGGCCGGCCTGTCCCCAGGCGGTCGAGCCTCGGGCGGGAGTCTCTGCTCCTGCCTGACTCCGCTTGTCTTTCCAGGGCAGCAGCAGCGGAGGCGGCAGTGGGCACAGCAGCAGCCTCCTGAGCAACGCCCGCTCCTGGGGGGTGCAGATTCTCCACGTGGACGGTACCCTTCCTGCCCGGGGCCACAGAGGGGAGGGTTGGCAACTTTGCCTGGGAACCTGGGCTGTGAGAGGGGTCCGAGTCGTGTACTGGCTGAAGCCGGATGTACTCAGTCACTTAACTGTGTTGGTCCGCAGAGGTGGAGAGCAGCCGCAGCAATAGCAGAGCGCAGGTGCTGGGAAGGGCTGTTTCCTTTAACCCCGGTGCCAGCTCTCCTCAGCAGGATTGAATAAGAGCCGATCCTAATATCCATTACCCCTTATCAGGTATTTGCTCTGTGCTAGGAAGCACCTCACTTAATTCTCATCACAGTCTCTGCCCATTGTACAGATGAGGAAGTTGAGCCTCAGGGAATAGATTGAGTAAATGACCCATAGTCTCACCAGGCCCACATTCCCCCTTAGTTTGGCTCAACTACATTTCCTGTTCTTTCTTTCCTCTAGGGTTTGCCACACGTAACCACCTGTGTGCTGGCTGTAATACATTTACATGAGAGTAGCTGTTTTGAGTCTGCTGGCAGTGGTCAGCCCTCCCACCCAGCTCCACTTTGAGTCTGGCGTTTTCTTTGACGCATTAAAGGGAGCAGGTCTAGATCCAGCCTGAGATCTGCCGGAGGGCAGGGAGCTGCGCCAGGGCAGGTCCTGGTCTGGGATGGTGGGAGGTTCCATCGTCTCTGGAAAACCAGCCATTTCTGACTTGATCTAATTTCCTGCCTTTCTATGTATAGAGAAGCTCCAGCATGTATAGCTCCTGCTGGGTCTCCCACCTAAGGATATAACTGAGTAAATGCCATGGCTTGGTCTCCCCCACAAAACTGCCCCTCAGTAGCACCTTAAAGCCCTTTATGGGTCATCAGGCACCTCCTGCTCAAGACTTGTATTCAGTGCTTCAAAGGAGCATGCAGCCAGCATAGGTACTGTTCCAGGGATAGAGGACCCTGCGCTCTCTTTTATTATCAGCAGGTGCAGAGATGACACATAGCCAGAAGGTGGCAGGCAAGGCTGGTGTGATCCAGTGAGCCAGGCCGGGTGGGACGTTCAGTCCTCCAGCCCCAGGACAGGGCTGTGCTGGGGAAACGAGAAGAGGAAGCCTTCGGCCACAGCCCTCTGTTTCCTCCCCAGAAATGCTGATACGGGTGCAGCAACTGTCTCTTGATGCTCCACGTGTGAAGAAACAAGGGCTGAAGAAGCCAGAGGTAGGTCATCCCCTTCCAAACTGAAAGGAAATGGGAAAGTCTGTGACAGCACTGGCAAATCCATGACCTGCCCCAGCCACCACCTCCTGGCCTTGCTGGGAAAGGTGAGAGGAACATAGCCTCTCAGCTCAGCCCTGGTGCCCACAGCCCTGTGTGGGGCCAAGGACTGCCTGCAGGTCTTCATGGCCTGCTGGCCAGGCTGCCATTCTGGGGATAGTTCTTGGCCTGGAAACGAGCCTGCCGATTGCATGGGTGGTGGCAGGGGGGTGGTGGCGTTTGAAATAGCTGCTATATTCCAAATTCTTGTTTGGCTTTTCCTTCTTTTGCTGGGGTTAGAACTGTGTACCACCTCAAGAGAGCCCAGGCTGATTTAAAGCCACAGGGTCTTCACCCAGCCCTGAATTCAAGGAAGAATCAGGCCCTACAAGTCCGTCCAGGGCCTGGCACCCAGCAGAGGGACCACATCCAAACCAGGTGGAACACTCAGCCTCACCACGCCTCATCCCACCCCCTCTGGTCTGGGCATCTTTAAGGTTTTACTGTAATGTATACAAGGCTTCTCTGATGGCACAAGCATTAAAGAATCAGTCTGCAATGCAAGAGACCTGAGTTCAATCCATGGGTTGGGAAGATCCCCTGGAGGAGGAAATGGCAACCCTCTGCAGTATCCTTGCCTGAGAAATCCCATAGACAGAGGAGCCCAGCAGGCTACAGTCCATGGGGTCGCATATATTGAAAGTCTCTTTCCCCTCTGACTTCTGCTTCCCAACCACCAAGCTCCCTCCCTGAGGTCAACAGTGCTCAAATGTCCTTCCAGGACTCCCAAGCATCTACAAGCAAATACATCGAAATTCCCCCCTTTTACACAAATGTGTGGTATTATTACTTTGCTTTGTACGCTTAATAATCTCTTTTGTAGCTACTTGGGACTCTTTTGGGGCAAGTTTTGGGTGCAGTCTGCTGATGGGGGAGGGCCTGTTGAAGGCTTCTTTGGGCTGTATTGGCCCTGGTGGTGTGGCCTGGAAGAGAATCTGGAATCCCCTTGGGCCCAGAGGCCCAGACAGTTATGTAGCCACTGGATCTCTCATTCTATCCACACCCTCCCAACTCTTTAGCTGATTTTTTAAAAATTGTTTCATTTGGTTTGTAACATTAGCTTTGTTTGACCTTGGCCTGAAAGCCAGTTTTGACAAACACAGTCAGGGTGTGTAAGATAGGGTACTGAAAACCAAAAGGCACTGTCTTCACCCTTATCCTGTCGGCTGCCCTGGAATGCCAGCGCGCCCAGAATACATGGGCTGCCGTCAGTGAGCCCCTCCCCTGCGTCAGGTGTGTCCCCTGCTGCAGTTTCATCTGTGCCACATCCGAGGTGTTAGGTGGGAACCCCGAACATCATGGGCGGCACGGTCCCGTTCCCACGGTGGTGGGGGGTGCTCCCCAGCCCTCGCTTGCTCTTTGTTCTGCCCTGCATTCCCTTCACAAAGTCAGGGCCCTTGAGATTCACGCACAGAGCTCACCACACAGGGAGCATGGTGCTCAGGTCTGCTCCAGCTCAGGGTCCAGCCGTGGGCAGAAAGCTAAAGTGGGGCAGAAAGCTAAAGCAGAGCAGCAGCTCGAATCTCCGGGCCCAGTTCCTCGACCCCCCAGCTCCCTCACATCCTTAACCTATTTTTCCTTTCCATTCAGGGAACATGTCCAGCAGAGTCAAGAACACGGAAAGGTCAGTGCAAGAGCTCTTCCTCATTTAATTGCCATCCCTCCCTCCCTAAATGATTCCCCACGACTCCCTCTGTGGCAGCATCTGCTCACTTTTCTGCAGCAGGAAGCAAGTCCAGGTTGTGGACAGCCTCATCCTGTTGCCAGGCTCTGCCTGTTGCCAGAGCTTCAGAGAGGAGGGCGGTGGGAGAGGGACGTCTGTGAGCAAGTCCAGGGCTGCTGGGCCGGGCCTTCTCTGTAGAGCCAAGGCCTCCTGCAGTCGCTCTGGCTCCTGCAGCCTCTGGCTGTTCCTGGGCGTCGATGGAAGTTCAGCATCCTTTGCTTTCTGATTCAGAAGCAGTTTGGGGTGGGCAGTTTGACAGCTGCCTACTACTTTCAGAAATGCCAAACTCCCTGAAATTGACAAAAAGTCAGATTGACGGGCCCAGCTCCTGGCTCTTCTTGGACAGCAGGGGAGTTTCTCCCCCTGGATATTTCTCCCAAAGATGCTCTGTCGGTGGCATTTATTCGTGCACAAGTGGGAACTAATAAGGAAAGTCACTTGGCACCTCTCACACTTGCAAATCAAGGAAGTCTGTAGGAGAATTGATTTTAATCACTGTGTCAGTTAATTAGGAAGACGAGGAGTCACCCCAAAAAAGTAATTAAGGAAGAAAGGCTTGAGCACTGGGAGCTGAGAAGCGCCAGCTTCTTGGGGATTTGGTGGCAGCTAGCTGTGCCCAGCCTTTTGGTGCCTCAACTGCCCCTTTGATAGGACTTCTGATCATCGTGGGAGGGCAGAAGGGGTTTATAATGCCTCAGAGAATCTATAAACCGTGCAGATAGCCAGCTAGTAGGGGACAAATCTTTTGATTAACTGACTCCAAATCTGTGTTCCCAGCACCCCTTTGCCCTATTTTTTTCAAGAACCAGATTTCACTTTTGGTGTGTTTTTTTTTAACTGTCCTTCTGCCAAGACCTTGAAACACTCTTCAGTTCTCCTCCTTGCTGTTCTTCCCCTCCAAAACCCCAGGCTCCTCGTGGAGAATTCTGTCTGAGAACCATCCTCAGGCCCCCTTGGGATTCTGAGACACCAGGAGTTAAGGTCTGGGAAGGAGCTAAGGCTCTTAGCAGAAACCAGCAGGGGCCGGGTTTCTGCTACCCGGCCAGGTTCCTGACTCTCAAGGTTGACAGCCTTTAGCACCCATATGCAGAAGGCTGAGGGTGGGTGCATTTAGGACCCTGGGGCACCCTGTAGCCTCTCCCCCCAAGGGTGGTAGAGGTTAGAGGAGATGGGAGCAGGGGCCTCACTCAGCCAAAGGAAAGGCACACCTTGGGGCCATGAGGGCTCTCGCTCTGAGAGCCTCTCGGGCTCTGGCAGAGCCTCGTCTCTCTGAGCATTTCCTGAGCTCAGGCTCTGTACCAGGGCAGACAGATGGCTGACGGGCGCACTCTTCCTTCCAGTGGCCAGACTGAAAGCACCGTTCCTCAAAGTCGAAGATGAGAGCAGGTGAGTGGACCGCCAGACCTACATGGAGGAGAGGTACTCAGGGGCCCCTGGCTGCCATGGGGAGGTCTCATATAGATCAGAGGAGCCATGCCCAGCTGGCACTCCTCTTGGTCATGAGTCAGAGGTTTGTTAATCCTGTGTGTGAATTCCTTCCTTATTTTTTTTAAAATATTTATTCATTTGGCTGTGCCAGGTCTTAGTTGCAGCATGTGGGATCCAGTCCCCTGACCAGGGATCGAACCCCAGACCCCCTGCACTGAGAGCTCAGAGTCTTAGCCACTGGACCACCAAGGAAGTCCCTGAATTCCTTCCTTTCAAAGCTCTGCTTTTTTGAGTCTGTGATGTTGCATCCAGGTTGTTTGACTCCCCATTTCCCCCATGTGTACGCTGACAATACCAAATCATTGCTGGTATTAGTGCTGGTACAGTCTTTGCTAAAGTGAGGGTCTCTGCGGTGCTATTGGGGTTCCCTTGTCAGACCACGTTGTATCAACACTTGACCAAGCCTTTCCATTTGCTGTGTAAAACACTTTCCTGGTATGTGTTATCTCCTCATAGCCGTGGCTAAAACTGCCATGAGAAGAGTCCATCCTCTTCCCAGCGGGGAAACTGAGGTCAGAGACATTAAGGGACATGAACACAGCCACTTTGCTAGTGACTCTTAGTCTGAGGCTAGAGTCCACATCCAGCCTGGGACCCTCTCCCCTCTGCCCCGTCTGTCCCCGTGAGGGCCCTTTCTTACCTACAGCAGGAGGGTCACATCAATGATAACCTGACGAGCTGTTAGCCACTTGGGTTGTCCCTGACTCTTCAGTAAGTACCGGAAAATCTAGAATTAACCCCAGAAGTTTTTTCAAAGCCCATGTGTCCCCAGCAGAAACTCCTGGGCCAGAATGCTCTGTGTCCCTCAGCTTTGGGCTGGCTACCGACAGACCCAGCCCCAGGAGCCTGGCAGGTCTGTCCATCCTTCACATGACGGCGGCACATAGGACAGAGTTGGCGCTGGTGGCCCAAAAGCCAGTAGAAAGAGTCCAGGGCTGGAAGGAGGCCTTCTCCTCTCCCCTTCCAGGCGGGTGGGGTGGAGGGGCATGTCCTTCACAGTCCGCCCTTCACAACCAGCTGAGTACAAGTAGCCACGACTGGGATGCTGTGGCTGAGACACCACCAGGGCCTTAGTATCTCTGCACATGGAGCTGAGCTTTCTCTCGATCCTTCTTTACGTGCTGTCCTAAAGCAGGCGCTCTTCAAAGCCCAACTTAGCCACACCAGCCTCAACTTTTCAACCTCCTCAGCAGAAACAAAATAACATGGAGGAGGGCGAAAGGCGGGGTACCAGGGCTGTGAGGGGCGTCTGCTTCTCCTTCAGGATCCAAGAAGACTTTTTATTTTGGCTGTGCCATGCACCCTGTGGGATCTTAGTTCCCCAACCAGGAGTCAAACCTGGGACCCCTGCAGTGGAAGCTCAGAGTCCTAGCCACTGGACTGCCAGGTAAGTCCCCAAGAAGACTCATTGGTTAATTTACTCCTGAGGCCGCAGGGTCTCAATATGCCTCTGGCACCCAGGGCCTGCTTTCCCCTGGAGCACTGTCCACTGCACCCCAACATGGTGTGGTCAGGGGCTGCCGAGTACCCACAGATCATCATGCCCGGCTCCAAAATTCTCCTGAATGTGAGCCATTTAAGGCAAATGACTCAGAGTATGTCTGACTGCCCAGAACCTTCACTGCACCTCTCTTTTCCATTCAGAGCACCACCCCTCAGATAGTACAAACGCCCAGCCCATTGCAAAAATATTCCTCTTCATGGAACAGGAAGATCACTGATCTGGTCTTGCGTTTAGATTCTGCCAGGCTAGAGTTCTCAGAGGTCACTTGAGGGTCGAGAAACAAAATGGAAAGGTGGGAGGAACTAGATCAGGAGTTGGGAGACGTGGCTTCCCATCTGGACTTGGCCGCATGTAGGTCATGAGCCCTCGGGCAAGCCACAGAACCTTTAGGGCTTCGTCTCCTCTTTTATGATATAAAACATGAAAACACTGTTGTTCTGCTCAGCTCAGAGGTTGCAGGATATGGGGGAGGCAGTGGTTGTAGACAGGCTTGGAAAGTGGACAGTAAGAGTGTTAATTTAAAATATTAATCTAACCCGGTAAGGCAGATAAGAATGTTGTTCTAGTATTTAAAAGCTGGGCAAGTGAGGGACTTCCCTGGTGGTCCAGTGGTTGAGATTCTGAGCTTCTAATACAGGGGGCATGAGTTTGATCCCTGGTCAGGGAACTAAGATCCCACATGCTGTGCAACATGGCCCAAAAAAGATGGGCAGGTGAGAGTCTGCTTTATCAAGATGGGAATTCTCAGGAGTTGGGCTGGCCCCTCTTCCTCACCTTTTCCCTTCCCCACTGGAGTCAAAATGGAAGTTTTGTGTGTTTCAGGAAGTTTCGTCCTTTCCACCTTCAGTTTAAATCCTTTCCTGAAATTTCTTTTCTGGGACCCAAAGCCACCAGTCCTTTTGAGGCCCTGATGACTCCGAGCAGCTCGCACCATACCAGGTGGGTCTTTCTGGTTCCTGAGTACAAGGGCTGGCTCCAGACCAAAGTCCTCCCCCCTGGGGGCCTGCTGGTCAGACTGGGGAATGGCCATGTGTTAGCTCCTTAGGCAAAGTCTATTCTGGGAACTTAGCCCAGAGAAGAGGGACACCGGGAGTGTTCATCCGTTTTATCTGGTGTTCTCCATCCGTACTGAAGAACTTGACTTGTGTCCAGAGGGCACGAGGCTGGTTTCTGAACCTCGGATTATAGACCTCCTTTCTTAAGAGTCTCCTTGTGAAAGTGAGGTCGCTCAGTCATGTCTGACTCTTTGCAACCCCATGGAATGTAGCTTAAGGGAGTCTCCCTGAGGGCCCGTTAAAAATGCAGGTTCCTGGACTCCACCCCTGCAGAATCACAGTCTCTGGTGATGAGACTGAGCTCCGTGTTCCCAGGCTCCCCATGTGGTTTCAATGCACGTCCAAATCTGAGGCCTTTGAAGCTAAACATAGCAGGCAGAGGGTCTGGGGGACCTGCCACACTATGTGGCCTGAAATGACTTGTAGGCTGCTTTTTAATCCTACTCTGCAGATAGGTGAGTTTGACCCTTCATTGACCAACGTGCAGAAAGCATGCGGTTCAGAGGATGACCTGGACCCTTTCCCAGACTTTTCTAACTTATGGGCCCAGAGAATAGAGGGCAGATGCCCAGCCCAAGGGTCTCCAGTACCAGGGAGGACCTGTGGTTTCCACCAGCAGACAGGGGCTAAGGGGTCAGGAAATAGTGCAAATGGGAGGAAAAAAAGAAAGGGACTGTCGCAGTAGATAGCGGAGGAAGACGAGAACAAGCCAGGGTGAAGTCCAGGGGCCCTTCATCCCTTTCCCAGAAGATACAAGGGACACAAGAGGGGCAGCCCGGAGGCTGCCTGGGCTGGGGCTGCAGGGGGTGCTTGGCCTGGGAAGGCCTGGGGATGGCACAGGAGCTGATAAAGGGAAGATGAAGGGTTTACAGTGAAACGTCTGTATTCTGTGCCCATCCTCCAACCTCTAGACCATGAGTCTCTCCAGAGAGCGTTTATGGACAGTACATCGTGTACCCTTTGTTCTCTCTTCTCACAAAGAGTAGCAAGATATTCACTGTGCTGGATCTTGCTTTTTTTCCCAGTGAGTATTTCTTAATTTCCTATTAGTACCTGAAGAGCATCTTCATTCCCTTTAATGACTGCAGGGTATTCCATGGTATGGATTTGCCGTATTTTATTTAACATATGTGTGGATGATTTCCAGTCTTTTGTGGTGAATAGTCTTGTTCAGAGTAAATTTATGATTGTTCAAGTATATTTGCAGGACAAATTCCTAAAAGTGGAAATGCCGGGTCAAAGGGTGCCTACATTTATAATTTTGAGAAGTGCAGCCAAATTGCTTTTCATGGAGGTAATGCCAGGATACACTTTCACCCGCAGTGGACCAGAGCCCATTTCCCCATCCCCATGGCTAAGATAGTGAGCTGTCAGACTTGTGACTTCAGCCAGGCTGATAGATCAAAAACCATATCTCAGTGTAATGTAATTTTCATTTTTCTCTTTATGAATGAGCTTAAGTATGTTTTCCTATGTTGGATCATTTGAATCTCTCTTTTTTAAAATCTCTTTTTGTGTGAACCTTTTTCATATCCATTGCCAGTTTTTCTATTCAGTTATTGATCACTTATTGATTTGTAAGGAGCCCTTTGCTATGTTACTAGTTTTAAATATCCTCCCCCATTTCTGGTGTGTTTTTTTTGAGTTTGCTTCTATTTTCTACCATGCATATATGTTTTTTAATGGTTTGTCGTTGAACTTATCAGCTTTTTTACTGTTTCCTGGGTTGTGTGTCATGCTTAGAAAGTCCTTAGGGGAATATTTTGGACCCACTGAATTTGCTCAGTCCAATACCAGTACCCTACAGGCCTTTTAAAAATGCAGGACTGACTACAAATAATAAATGCTGGAGAGGATGTGGAGGAAAGGGAACCCTCCTACACTGTTCGTGGGAGTGGAAATTGGTGTAGCCACTGTGGAAAACAGTATGGAGTTTCCTTAAAAAATTAAAACTAGAGTTGCCATATGACCCAGCAAACCCACTCATGGGCATATATCTGGAGAAAATGCTAATTCAAAAAGATACTTGCACCCCAATGTTCATAGCAGCAATATTTACGATAGCCAAGACACGGAACCAACCTAAATGTCCATCAGCAGATAAATGGATAAAGAAGATGTGATGTATACACACACACACACACACACATATATGTATACACACACAGAGTGAAATACTGCTCTGCTCAGGCATAAACAAGAATGAAACAATGCCATCTGTGGCAACATGGGTGGATTTAATAGAGATTATGAGTGAAGCAAATCAGAGAAAGAGAAATATCATATGATATCACTTATATGTGGAACATAAAAAATAATACAAATGAATTTATTTACAAAATAGACTCACAGACATAAAAAACAAATTTATGGAGAAAAAAAAAATTTATGGTTACCAAAGGGGAAAGCAGATGGAGGAGGGAATCAGTTCAGTTCAGTTCAGTCGCTCAGTCGTGTCTGACTCTTTGCGACCCCATGGACTGCAGCACGCCAGGCTTCCCTATCTATCACCCACTCGCGGAGCTTGCTCAAACTCATGTCCATTAAATCAGTGATACCATCCAACCATCTCATTCTCTGTCGTCCCCTTCTCCTCCTGCTTTCAATCTTTCCCAGCATCAGGGTCTTTTCCAATGAGTCAGTTCTTTGTATCAGGTGGTCAAAGTATTGGCGCTTCAACTTCAGCACAAGTCCTTCCAATGAATATTCAGGACTGATTTCTTTCAGGATTGACTGGTTTGATCTCCTTGCAGTCCAAGGGACTCTCAAGAGTCTTCTCCAACACCACAGTTCAAAAGCATCAATTCTTCGGCATTCAGCTATCTTTATGGTCCAACTCTCACATCCATACATGGCTACTGGAAAAACCATAGCTTTGACTAGACAGATCCTTGTCAGTAAAGTAATGTCTCTGCTTTTTAATATGCTGTCCAGGTTGGTCATAGCTTTTCTTCCAAGGACCAAGTGCCTTTTAATTTCATGGCTGCAGTCACCATCTGCAGTGATTTTGGAGCCCAAGAAAATAAAGTCNATAATTGTATGGTACTCTGAACATTCTTTGACATTACCCTTCTTTGAGATTGGAATAAAAACATGTTTTTCAGTCTTGTGGCTACTGCTAACTTTTCCAAAGTTGCTGGCTTATTGAGTGCAGCACTTTCACAGCATCATCTTTTAGAATTTGAAATAGCTCAGCTGGAATTCCATCACCTCCGCTAGCTTTGTTCGTAGTGATGCTTCCTAAGGCCCACTTGACTTCACACTTCAGGATGTCTGGCTCTAGATGAGTGATCACACCATCGTGGTTATCCAGGTCATTAAGATCTTTTCTGTATAGTTCTTCTGTGTGTTCTTGCCACCTCTTCTTAATATTTTCTGCTTCTTTTAGGTCCACACCGTTTCTGTCCTTTATTGTGCCCATCTTTGCGTGAAGTGTTCCCTTGGTATCTAATTTTCTTGTAGGGATCTCTAGTCTCTCCCATTCTATTGTTTTCCTCTATTTCTTTGCATTAATCATTTAGGAAGGCTTTCTTATTTTTCCTTGCTATATCAGATAGATCTATCAGATGGAGGAAGGATAAATCAGGATTAACAGATTGGGATTAACAGATAAAAACTACTATGTATAAAATAAACAAGAAGGTCCTACTGGATAGCACAGGGAAGCATATTCACTATCCTGTAATAAGCCATAATGGAAAAGAATATGAGAAAGAAAAAAATATATATAGAACTAAATCACTTTGCTGCATACCAGAAACTAACATAACACTGCAAATCAACTATACTTCAGTTAACAAATCAAAACTCATGCAGGACTGAAAGTCAAAGAGGTCAGGCTTGAGAAAGATGTGAAAGTCCTCAGGGAAGGCACAGCTGTGTGGGTCAAATGACCCTGGGTTTGGGTGTGAGCACGGAGCTGGAACATCATCAGGGATTCTTGCCTGTGGTTTGAGGTGTGTGGGTGGGATCAGGTTGGAGCTAAGACGGGGTACTCACAGAGAGGCCTCTCCTTCCTTGCTGCCTCTCCTGCCCCCCTTGTACGAGTGGTGCCTGCCCTGCTCTGGCCATTCTGGTCCCTCCTCCCCCACTGGCCTGGACCACAGGCCGCAGGGCCACAGTTCGCTCTAAGAGCTCCAGTGGTGACTACTTTCCCCCACCCTGTATCCTTCCCAGAGAAGCCAAGGACCAGGAGCCAAACCGGCGATCCGCCGCCTGCACTGTGCCCAGGAGGAGGAAAGGGTACTGTGAGTGCTGCCAAGAAGCCTTCGAGGAGCTGCACAGGGTGAGCTCCTTCCCCACCATGCAGCTGTTCCCAGACAGTCTCTCCACCCTGGTGAGGCTGGGTGGTCTGCTTGTGTCCCATCCCAGCCTAGTCTAACGCCCTCTGCCTCCTCTCACCCCGAGCAGCATCTCCAGAGCCCCCAGCACCAGGACTTTGCCCTGGAAGCCCACCTGTATGCCGAAGTCGATCGGATCATTGCCCAGCTGAGCCACAGCTTTGCAGACGTGCCCTTCCAGGCCAGCCTCCCCCGGTAAGCACCGCTGTGCCACCCCACCGCAGGTGGCGGGCATGACCGCCTGCTCACCTCTCCTGCTGCTGCCCTGTGCCCTGAGGTGGAGAGGAGCCCTCGGGTTGCCAACAGCAGAGATCAGGCTGTGGTCCCTCACCTTTCTTACTTCTTCCTTCCCTTTCTTTCCTGCCATCTTCTGTTCTGTTCCTTGGGGGGGTGTCAAGGGAAAGCCTCCATCTGGGGCTTCAGCCCATCAGATCAGAACAGACCCCGACCAGAGCTCCCTTCCTAACACCACAGTTGGGGGCGCAGGGGGAGCAATTCATCTGTCGCTGCTCCTGGGATGTGTCTGGTCACGTGCCTGTCTGGCCTTCTAGAAATAGGGAGGGGAATTCCTGGGTCTTTCCTGTGTAGGTGAAGAGGAGAGGTCTTCCTGCTTCTCTAGAAGTTTACCCTAGAAAGGATGGCAGAGGATTTGGCAGAATCCCAGGGCCCTCTGAGCACCACCCCTCTTGCTGCCCACCAAGGAGCTATGGCTTCATCCCCCGCACCCCGAAGCCTCCACCTCAGGCAGCCTCACTGGGCTCGGGGTGCGCAGCCAGGACCTGTGCTGCTTTCCCTAGCCACCGAAGGGCAGCCTCCTCCATGACTGCCTTATTAAGCAGAGCAGCCTCTAACCTCTTCCTCTGGCCAGCCCCAACCACAGGTCGCAGAGCCAAGAACAGGCCTTTCACCTGGGACCCAGAATGGCAGCTCTTTTCTGCACAGTAAGGCCCAGAAGGGTAGCACCATATGGGCCTCCACTGTGCCCCCGGCCCAGGAGGACCCCCACTTGCTCTGGAGTTGAACCCTGTGACCCACTGGGTGTTTCTGTCCCCACAGGCAGCCAGGCTCCTTGACTTCCGACTGTGACCCTCTGTATCCTGAGCCTCCGCCTCCCCTCTGGCCCTCCCCTGTCAAGGCAGCGTCTCCCTGGAGGAGGAAAGGCGATCATCACCAGGCCCCAGGTGCCTCCGATCATGGTGGGACAGTGGGCGGCGTGAAGGCAGCAACAGAACCTGTGGAGGCTGGCGAGATTCCTGGACCGATAGCAAGCTACCAGGAGCTAAAGGGGTCAGCTGACAGCTTTGTGGACCCCCCAGAGACCCCAGGGTCTGGGAGCCCTGCTCACCAGGGCCTCCTAACCAGCTCTGGACTTGCTGAACTCTCCTCTGGCCCAGACCTGCCTCTTTTTGGCCACAAGCGGAAGATTCAGTTCCCCAGTGGCAATGCCGAGAAGAGGCCGGGTGCATCCTGGCCACAAGCCTCACTCTTTATCCCGAGAGCCCCCAGCCCCTGTGGCTCCCCCAGCTCCCATGGCATCAGGACAACCAGCAGCAAGCACCTTCCCCTTCCCGGCCATGAGCCCAGGTCTCTGGCCTCCCTCCAGCCTGTGCACCACCCACAGGAAGAGACCTGCCTCTCCCTCCCAGGCAGCCCCCCAGTAGGTTGGCAGAGTGCTGGGCCACACAGGCCCCCTGGCCTGGGGGAGGAAGGCCTCCAGGATCTAAGGGCTCTGAGGATGCCGCCCCTGGCCCTGTCTCCCAGTAGGCTGAGCAGCTCCGGGCCAGCTGCCAGCCCACCTGCCCTCAGCTGCAGGCACGGAGCCCCCAGGAGGACCTGCAGAGAGCCCGGCTGCCTCTCCTCGCCACACACTGCCAGCCAGCAGGGAGACCAGCTGCTCCCGATGGTTCTGGACCTCCCAGCTTCTTCCAGGCCCCTGACTCCCAACCCCAGCCCACCGCCAACAGAGAACTACTTCTGTGAGTCCCCACCCACCCCTGGGCATGCAGCTCTGGAGGCTGACAGCTCCCAACTCGAGGGCAAGTTATACGTCAGCTGAGGGCTGCACACCCAGCCCGGGCCGACCAGACACAGGAGGAGCCGACGCGGAGTCTGGCCCTGGACAATCACAGCTGAGCTCTAGGTGCATTAGATGGAGCCAGTCCTCCTGGCCACCAGGTCTTCCGGGCTGGGGGCTGCCCTCTCCAGCAGTGGATCGTGCGGCCCCGGCCAGCTGCTCAGGCCAGGAGGCAGGGGCAAGGTTGGCACGGGGAGGGCCCACAGAGCTTCCTGTCCCTCTGCAGGCACTTGCTCAGCCAAGAAAGCTAAAGGGGTCAGCTGACAGCTTTGTGGACCCCCCAGAGACCCCAGGGTCTGGGAGCCCTGCTCACCAGGGCCTCCTAACCAGCTCTGGACTTGCTGAACTCTCCTCTGGCCCAGACCTGCCTCTTTTTGGCCACAAGCGGAAGGTTCAGTTCCCCAGTGGCAATGCCGAGAAGAGGCCGGGTGCATCCTGGCCACAAGCCTCACTCTTTATCCCGAGAGCCCCCAGCCCCTGTGGCTCCCCCAGCTCCCATGGCATCAGGACAACCAGCAGCAAGCACCTTCCCCTTCCCGGCCATGAGCCCAGGTCTCTGGCCTCCCTCCAGCCTGTGCACCACCCACAGGAAGAGACCTGCCTCTCCCTCCCAGGCAGCCCCCCAGTAGGTTGGCAGAGTGCTGGGCCACACAGGCCCCCTGGCCTGGGGGAGGAAGGCCTCCAGGATCTAAGGGCTCTGAGGATGCCGCCCCTGGCCCTGTCTCCCAGTAGGCTGAGCAGCTCCGGGCCAGCTGCCAGCCCACCTGCCCTCAGCTGCAGGCACGGAGCCCCCAGGAGGACCTGCAGAGAGCCCGGCTGCCTCTCCTCGCCACACACTGCCAGCCAGCAGGGAGACCAGCTGCTCCCGATGGTTCTGGACCTCCCAGCTTCTTCCAGGCCCCTGACTCCCAACCCCAGCCCACTGCCAACAGAGAACTACTTCTGTGAGTCCCCACCCACCCCTGGGCATGCAGCTCTGGAGCCTGACAGCTCCCAACTCGAGGGCAAGTTATACGTCAGCTGAGGGCTGCACACCCAGCCCGGGCCGACCAGACACAGGAGGAGCCGACGCGGAGTCTGGCCCTGGACAATCACAGCTGAGCTCTAGGTGCATTAGATGGAGCCAGTCCTCCTGGCCACCAGGTCTTCCGGGCTGGGGGCTGCCCTCTCCAGCAGTGGATCGTGCGGCCCCGGCCAGCTGCTCAGGCCAGGAGGCAGGGGCAAGGTTGGCACGGGGAGGGCCCACAGAGCTTCCTGTCCCTCTGCAGGCACTTGCTCAGCCAAGAGGGTTAGTTGTCGGTGTTCCCCACCCCCACCCCAGCCTCCTCTCCCACAAGCGCGTGGCTCTCCTGCTTTCCGAGATGCCTGCGTGTTGTCCCCTCCCCCAGCCCCCCACGCTGGTGCACCCAGATCCTCAGGAACATATGAAGCAGAGGAGGGGCTCGGCTGCGCCACTTCCAAAGCTCCCTCCCCGCCACACTTAGTGGGGGCCCAGCACTGACCCCTCCCCTGAGCCCAGGACGTGGCCTGAGCCCCCTCTGGGGACCCCTCTCAGCTCTTCCCTGCTGCCTCAGCTCCGGCTGCCCACCCAGAGTTCTGTTCCAGGGTCAGTTGCTCACCAGCCAACTTCTGCATCCCCCTCCTTCCCCAAGGACCTCCCCCCATTTCTTTCAGCTGAGCCATTAATCTGGAGACAGAGATGAGTTTGCTATTGATTCTTTGGCCACTTTTTTTTTTTTTTATTACATCTTGTACTGTGGTTCTTCTCACCCTTCTCTGCCTCTGTGTTTGTCTCTTTAAATGTTGAAGCTACCAGAAGCCTGGTGCTATTCTGTATCTCATTTTGGAGGAAGAAAGGGAGGGGGGGGCCCTAGATGCAGGTGAGGACCTGAGTTGTTAGTTTGGAAATAGAATGACTATGTGTACAATGCTCACAGAAATCAGGTTTGGCCTTTTCATGCCATCCTGTTAAATTTCACAATTAATCTTGGTTCAGGAGATGTAAAATAAATTTATTAATAACAAATAGCAAAGAAATGGGGCTGGCATGTGATGTGTCTTGATCTGCCCTCCAGGGACCTACGCAGGCTGACAGCCCAGCAGATACAGACAGAGCGATGGGGTAGCAAGCTGGTGCCACCTGCAAGTGGGGGAGCGTGTGTGGGTGCCACCACCCTACGAGGGCCTAGCTCCAGAGGGCTTGGGAGGTGGGGGTATGCCTGTCCAGTCTGCAAGTCACTCCCTGGTCCTGCTGCCCACCTCGTAGCTGCCTGAAGGGGGCGCACTTGCCACCCACTCCCAAGGAAAACACCTTTGCACTGATGAACCAGGGCTCCAGGTCCTCCTCTCCGCCTGGAGCTCAGAGAGTAGCTTCTTTCCAGGCCCCATGGGTGCATCTCTTCTTCTGCAATACAGGGACATGCCTCGTCCCCCACGGCCTTTCCCACGACACTGCCACTTGAGTAGGGAGCTCCCCCGCCCCTTCCTCAGACCTCTGACAGCCTCATGTGCTATTCACTCAAAGACCGACACACCAGGTCCTGACGCCCTCGTCACCGTCTGCCCAGGACCTCACATCCAACTATATGGCCTTCCCCTCCCATTTCAACAACTTGATGTGACATCTGGACATCACATTGCTGCCAGGTCAAGCCCCAGCGTTACATCTCCCTGCCTCCGGGTCTCTGTCCCAGCTTCTAGGATGTCAGCTGAGAAAGGAACCCAGGCCACCTGAGCCCAGAGCCAGGACAGCGAGGTGCTGCTTGACACAAGCCCCTCGGTGGCTCCTCCACATGGGGACTGTTCACACCTCCTTCCCCTCCCTTCGTCTCAGAGGATGCAGTGTGCCGCCGTCTGCTCTCCGGCCCACCCCACCAGCCTTGGCAGTGTCCTCCTCCGGCTCGTCACCTCTCCTTCCTTCTGCCCGAAAACTCCAGCCTGGAGAACACTTGCATTGATTCAGCAGCTTAAAGAGAGTTCCCTTCTGTTCTCTGGCTACATCCTGCGGTCTACAGCCGCTGCCTCCGTGCCTGAACCTCCTGCCCCGTCCAAACCACCGCGGTGGCTCTACCCAAAGCACTCCACCAGGATCGTCCCTCCCAAGGTCACCAGAGAACCTGATAATGACCAAAATTGGCATCCTTTTCTTTTTTTCCACCTTGCTGGAACCTGGCTGCCCTGCTCCCGCTGACCTCAGGTTCCCCAGCCTCTGCCCTCTCTACCACGGGCACGGGTTCCCTCAGCAGCCCCAGCCCCCAGCCCCCCAGCCCTCACTGCCTCTCCAGATGTGAGTCTGCGCCCTTGTGCTCACCTCCCAGCTCTGGTTCTTGCAATGAATTGGTAGCTCCACCCCTGACTCCTTTCTGAGTTCCAATCTTGCACCCATGCTGGGTGAGAAGGCAGGAGATTAAGCCGCACTCAACACAAGTCCCTTCACTACCCTGGGTCTTGGTTTCCTCATCTTTAAGTGAGGGGCTCGTGTGAGATGACTTCAACGGTCCTTTCTCCAATAATTAAAAAAACCACCACCCCCTGGGAATCCCTTGTATGCCTCCTGTCCTACTTGCCTCAGAGGGACTCACCGAGAACTCGGTCCCTGTGCGAGAACCACTCCCCGGCCCGCCCCGTCTTAAATCTCTCCCGCCTCCTCTAGCAGCCCCAGGCCCTCCTGTTCTCTCTCCCTGTTGACCCTCCTCCCCTTAACCCACCCTGCCTCCCTGTCCTCTCCGCCACCTCCTGCCAGACCACCCTGGGCCATCCAGCCCCCGTGTGCTTGCTCTTAGGCCCTGACCTGACCCTTGACAACAGCCAGAATGTTCTTCAAGGCACAACCTCCATATTCTCCATGAATCCTATAGACTTCAAGTCATGCAGGCCTGAGTTCAAACCCAGATCCTGCCACTCTGTGACCCAGGGCAAACTCCTGAAAGTCAGCTTTCTAAATCTAAAGAATGGAATAAGAGTCGTTGCCACCTTACTAGGGAGTCAGAATGAAATCCTGGTCTTCCCCTGGTGGCTCAGTGGTAAAGACTCCACCTGCCAGTACAGGAGACATGGGAAGCTCCTACATTCCTCAGAGCAACTAAGCCTGTGGGCCACAGCTATTGAGCACATGCTCTATCGCCCGGGAGCTGCAATCACTGAGCCCATGTGTCACAACTACTGAAACCTGCGTGCCCTATAGTCTGTGCTGCATCAGGAGAAGGCTGCACACCACAACTAGAGAGTAGCCCCCACTCGCTGCAACTAGAGAAAGCCCACGCAGCAACAAAGACCCAAGCACAGTCAAAAATAAATATTAGTAAATAAAAATATATTTTTAAAGAATTAAATAGGTTGGTGAGGGGCGTAGTACGTTGTAAACACTCAACAAACTATTATTTCAACCCTTACCAACACACACACACCTGCGAGTCCTCTCTTCTAGAAATTTCAGTGGAGCTGATTTTCACTCATTTCCCTCTTGTTAATGGCTTGCTGACCCAAAGCCCCATCTCCAGTGTAAATTTGTGGATGAAGCTGCTAAAGGATTCTATGAGACACCCCATCCCTGAGCTCCCCCCACTTTCCAACAGCTGGTTCCCCAAAACTCCAGGAGGATCCCTTGCATTGGGCAGAAGTGGCAGTGGGGCACTGTGCTTTTGGGCCTTTGGGTGCATGACCACAATGCATGACTCCAACGCAAGAGACATCACTTTAATCCCTGGTCCAGGAAGATTCCACATGCCTCAGAGCAGCTAAGCCCATGGGCCACAACTATTGAGCCTGTGCTCAATAGCCTGTGCTCCTGAGCCCAGGAGCCGCAGCGACTGAAACCCGAGTACCTGAGGGCCTGTGCTTCACAAGAGAAGTCCAACAAGACAACAAGTGGACAACAAGTCCACCGCAACAAGAAGTCCAAGCACCACAACTAGAGAGTAGCTCCCACTAGCAGCAACTAGGGAAAAGCCCACACAGCAACCCAAGACTCAGTGGCCATAAGTAAATAAATAAGTAAATAAAAAGGAGGAGGCCATCCAGACAGCCAGGAGGGAGGAGACTGAGGCTCCCCTCCAAGAGATACTCGGCTGACAATAGCAGTCCTCTCCTGGTTGAAAAGGACGGTGCTGGATGAGACGTGGGAGGCGGCAGAAGGAACTCCTTGTTCTAGTGCTGCGGGCATTTCCCTACTCCCCAACCCCTCAGGATCATGTCATCAGTCTCCCCACGTGCTGGGCAGAGGGGACACTGAGGCCCCCAAGCCATAAAGGAGTCCCTTGGGTCTTGGACACGGCCAGGAGCTAGCTTCTTCCTTGGCCTGTAAGGGTGACATGAACAGCGCGAGCTCAGGGTGAGTGAACCCTTCTATCACCAGGCGCTGTTCTGAGCTCCAGAGGCTCGTCCACACATTTATCCCTCTGCAGCACTGTTGGGGGGCACTTTTGAAGCCCCATTTCCCCGGTGAAGACACGGAGGCTCAGAGAGATTGGGGGACTTGCTCAAGGTCACACAGCTGTGAACCAGGATTGGGACCCCAGTGGGTTTCCTGGAGTCCTTTCCCACCTCACACCCTGCCTCCTTGCCGGGCACGGCCTCTGCTGCAGGCCTCCCAGACTAGGCGGGGGTCTGGGGGGTCTCTGTCAGCAGGATCCCTGCCCACTGAGCCACCCCAGGGCCAGGGCAGCAGACTCCCCTCCCTTACCTGCAGCTGCTGCTGGGTGAGACTAGGTCTTTGCCCCGCCTCAGCCCAGCTCGGCCCCTTTGCAGAAAAATCTGAAGGAAAAATTGACTGAAAGGCAGGAAGAACTGCACAGGGGAAGGAGGTCCCAGCCTCCTGACGGTCGGGGGCTCCTAAGGGAGGGCTTCAGGGGGGGACCAGAGCCTAACAGCTCCCCCAGAGGGTGGCCCAAGGGTGGTGTCAAGACGACAGTGGCCACCAACCTCCGGTTTCTTCACAGCGGGGGAGACAAGCCATGAGCAGAGTCCAAAGGAGCCGCCACAGCTGTGAGGTTGGGGGGCACTCCCCCAGGAAAACTAGCCTCTCTTTGAGGGGGAGGCACACGGGCCTTCCCTGCCCTCAGGGCCCCCAGGCTAAGGAGAGAGCCCGTCCTTGGCAACAATCCCCACCCCACCTCTTCTCTCCCAGTCTGAGGAAAGGCCGCCTACAGCCCCCGACCTCAGCAGGGAGGTTGGGTGAGGGATTTGAAACAAGCCTTCTGCTTGGCGAGGTGTGCAGCTGGCAGCAGAACCAACCCCAAGGACAAGATTCAGGGAGGGGCCTCGGGGCAGGGAGTGGGATATGGTCAAGGGAAGGTCAAGATGTCTAGCTGGGCTTGTTCAGAGCTGGGAACCCAGGGAGATAAGGGGCTATTGGAGGCCAACGGGCCCTACACTTGAGCACCAGTGGAGCCGGTCCAGAAAGCTGCCAGAAATGTGTCACTCGGGGTCAGCAAGGTCCCCGCAATAAACAGTCCCAGGAACCACGGCTACACAGTTAAGAATGTGCCTCAGCCTGGGAGGTCAGGGCCACAGACTGGGGAGGGGATCCAGACTCCCACAGGCCCAAGACCCTCCAGTGTGAAATGACAAACCCCACCTCTCCTGGCAGGCCCCGTAGCATGGCTAGGGTAGGGTACGACAGGCTCACCCTGGTGAGTGGGGGTGGAGGGAAGGCTAAATGGAGTAGATGGGCCAGTCCCTTCTAAGTCCCAGACAGAAGGCAGAGGTGAGGATACAGGGACCTTGGAGAATGGGATGTGCCTCTCACCGCCCAGCTGTTTGGGAAACTCTCGTAGCCTCTTGGAGCCTTAGTTTCCCCACCTGTAAAGTGAGAAGCATGGTCTCCCCATCCTGGATAATTGTAGGTTTCCAGGGAATATCACAGTAGGTCCTAATTCCCCAGAGCCCCTACATCCTGGAGGAGGTTTCCAAGATGTCTCCAGGATGAAGGAACAATCAACTCAGGCTTGCTGAGCATCTGGGTCTGGAATGGCAGGTGGTTAGATGGGGGGAAGGGGAGTCGCCCTGTTCCCAGCATTGATGTCAGAGCCTCCTGGGAAATCGCCTTCTCACTTCTCCTGGGCCTAAAATAGAACTGGGGGGGGGGGGGTGCTGTCACAAGCTAAAGGCAGCACCCTCCCTGACAGAGGCCCTGGGTCCTCAGGGAACCAGAGGACCCAGCAAGGGGTCCCTGTGTCCACTCCTGTTCCTTCCTCAGTGACCTGTGGTCGCCCATTGTGGGTGCAAGGATGCTCTGGCCTGGCGCACAAAGTCAAGGTGAGGCCTCACTAGCGGAGCTCATGTCTTACCTCACCTTACCCCATCTTTGGCTCCCGGGACCCCATAGCAGGGGTCAGACATCCCGAGCCCCGTGGGAACCCATCTTGCTTGGGAGTCTGGGAGCTGAGCTTGGGGCCCAGCTGGGGAGGTAGGCAGGGAGGCCAGATGGTCTGTAGCCAGGGCAACCTAGTCTGGCAGAGAGGGGAGGCTGCGGGCTCCAGAGGTATCTTCTGCTGCTCAAAGATGTGGACTGCCAAAAGGGAGGGACAGAAATGGGACATGCTACCCTCATGTAAATTACCTGGCTAGTTTATGTATTTTGGGGAAGGGGAAAATATCTGGTGTGTGTGAGGCACTCAGCCCAGAGAGGGGAAGCCAACCTCCTCGGAGGACGGCAGCAAAGCCAGAAGCCCCAGGGGTATCCACCCAGAGAAGGAAACTGCTGGATAGAAAGGGGTCTGGTTTGAGAAGACCCACAGTGCCCTGCTCGGCCACGGGAGATTCCAAAGGCCTGAGACGGCTGTGGGCCACAAGAGTCCCTGCCCCTCACTCCTGTCCCCGGCTCCCCAGCCTTCGGTGGAGCGGGGTGCTTGGGGCTGGTTCCAAGGAAGCCCCCTCTTGGGTTCGAATCCAGAGCGGGGAGCACCAAGGGGGGGGGGGGGCAGCCATGGATCTGCCCCAGAGGGGCCATCTCCGGCTCAGAGGCCGGGGGTCCCTCTGTACCCTGCCTCCCGACCCCTAGGAACCGACGGGTCCTCGCAGCTCCCCAAGCAAGGGCGATGAGGAGGGGACCACGAGGTGGACATCGGCGCGCCCCGCCCTGCACCTGCCGAGGGGCCCGAGGAGGGGCGGGAAGGCCGGTCCCTAGCGGGCGGCGCCTCTTTTGTCCTCGCGCCGCGGCGGCCCCGGCCCTGCCGGGCTGGGGGGGCCCGCGGGATGAGCGAGCCATGAGGCGGCTGCGGCGCTGGGCGTTCGCGGCGCTGCTGCTGCTGCTCCCCTCGCCGGGTGAGTGACCCCCGCCCGGCCCGGCCCCGGCGCCCCCTCCCTGCCCCCGCCCCGGGTTTTGCGGCAGTTTCTGCTGCAGCCACCTTTTCTGCAGTGCTCGGGGTGACAGCCGGTCCAGAGCGCGGGGGGCGGGGGACGGGGGGCGGGGGAGGAGGGAGGGTGCAGGCACCCACCTGTCCCCATCTGGCCCCCACCGCGGCCAGCCCCCTGTCGCCGGCCGTGGAGTCTGGAGGTCTCTGCGGCTTTGCGGGGAGATGGGGTGGGGGGGGGGCAGTCGTGACGGCCGGGTTGGAGTGCAGCAGCTCCTGGCCCCTCTCCCCTTCTGCAGGGCAGCAGGTCCTCCCACCCAGAACCGCCCCCCACCCCCCACGGGCTCCAAGGGCCACAGCAGAGTGGGGGAGGGGCGTGCCGTACCCACCCCTGCCCTGGTCTCTTGCCCCGCCGGTGGGCATCCGTCTGCAGCCATGGCCTTCTCTCCCCAGGTGTGGGGACTTGGGGTCCTGCTGGAGCGCTGCGCTGGAGGGTCTCTCCACACTTGGGGGGCCCGGAAGCCCCGGAGGTCACAGAGCCCAGCCGTCTGGTGGGGGAGAGCTCCGGGGGAGAGGTCCGAAAGCAGCAGTTGGATACCAGGGTCCGCCAGGAGCCTCCGGGCGGCCCGGTGAGTGGGGCAGGCGGTGAGGGCAGGGGACTAGGGCAGGCCTTAGAGCCCAGGGGCCACCACGGGGCAGCCTGGGCTTGGGCGCCTCACCTTCTGTGCAATGGGCTACCCAGAGGGTGCTGGAACCCGCTAGTGGGAGCACCTGCCTGCCCCTCTCCAGGCCCCCTCCCTTCAGGGTGGGGATTCCCTGCCTTCAGAGGACCCAGAAGGCCCAGGGCTCAGTCCAGCCTTGGTCAGCCTTCCACCAGCCCCCTCTCCTGTCCAAAGAAGTGGTCCTACACCACATGGGGCTCGGAGAGGGCAGTGAGAGGCAGGAAGAAGCAGCTAAGAACCAAGTCAGGGGTTAGGGCTCCCGGGTTTCCGCCACAGCCACTCACAATGGGCTTTTGGAGGGACCAACTTAATGCTTGCTTCTGCCTCAGTTTCCCCCTGTGCACTGATAGAACTGCTGTTCTCCTCCCCATTCTCACTGTGGGTGGGGCCTTGGGAAAAGGTTCCAGGCCCCAGGCTCGCTCACAGATGCCAACTCCACTCACTGCTTGTCCCTTTCAGCTGCCAGGCCCCTCCTGCCTCCCTGAGGAAGGTTAGAAATGAAGGAGATTAATTGCAATTAATAATTAATTAATATCATGTGAATAATAATCACCCAGATGGAATATTCATTCAGCACGCCTCGGCTCTCCAGGAGCTCGAAGCTGAAAGTTAGCCAGGCCACCGGGGGAGGCGAGGGCGGGATGGCGAGGCCTGGCAGAAACAGGAGGAGTAGAGAGACTCAGAGGAAGGGTACCACCAAGGTCTGGGAAGTTTTGGCAGCTGGGAGTGGTGGGAGGTGAATCGAGCTGGGCAGAGAGAGGAAGGAGGGAAACGGAGGCTAGCGTTATGGACATCTGTCAGACTGGCATCTGGCCCTGCCTAATGTACTTGGTTAAAAGCCCTTAGTGGGGTGGAGGGGGCCGTGGGGGTGCAAGGGGAGCTACTCGGGAAATGGAATGGAGCAGGAAGGCAGCATGCATAATAGATGGACCATCACTCAGGGCAGTGCCTGAGAGAGCAGGGGAGGGGGTGTTTAATGGTCCTGAGCAGGGAGGCCTGGGAGAGGGGGAGAGGGGAGGGGGAGAGGAAGGTGGGCTAGGAGGGAGGGTAAGGGGATGGAAGCTGCCCAGGCTCCCTGGAAGGTGGCAGATGGGCAGTAGGGATGGTCCCAGGGCCAAGGATGGGGTCATCCTGACTGGGTTTGGTCCTCAGGCCAACTTTCTCCCTTGGTGCCCCCCTGCCTGTGAACCATGACTGGGAGCTGACTTCCGTTGCAGGCTTCTGGGTCTCCTGATTGGTATCCTAGGGGATGTCCAGATTGTAGGATGGGGTGTCGCCACAGTGGGATCAGAGGACAGGATGAGGGAAAGCTGGGGGGCCAGGGAGGAATGAAAAGTGGGTGCTCCTTCAGCTTAATCCTTCCTGAAGAAGAGAGTCATGGGCAGGATTCTGAGGTATGGTGGTGCCTGTGACGGAGAGGAGATGAAGATGGGTGCAACTAGACTGGATGGGATACACAGAGGATGGGGGAATCTCTTTGGGTGTCGCTCTGCTGGGCGAATGGCCGGCATGTGTGCGTGACCAAGTCTGAATAAGCTAAACAGGGTGTCTGGAGGGCAGGAGTGGAGGGTTCTGTGGATCTGCAGGGCAGTGGTCACAGTCACCTCTAGGGGGGACCTCCGTCCCCTTGGACCTCACCTCCGCCTCCCCAGGAGACCGACTCCTTGCCCTGCGTTGCGTGCTCTTGTTTCCCCTGAGGTGGACTTCTCACAGCTCTGCAAGGCGGGTAACTTGTGTCTGCCCATTTTGCAGATCTGCAAACTGTGGCTCAGAGATGTTAAGTAACTTGCCCAAAGTCAATGAGATCTTTAAATATATATATATCTATATATATATATAGATAGATATAGATATAGATATATAGATATATTGATCTGGCTACACCAGGTCTTAGTTGCAGCATGAGAACAATAAGTGCCGGCATGTGGGATCCAGTTCCCTGACCAGGGATCGAAGCCAGGACCCCCTGCTTTAGGAGCACAGAGTCTTGGCCACTGGACCACCAGGGAAGTCCCAGTCAATGAGACCTTTATCAGTGGAGTGATTTCCTCCAAGACTAGGGCTCTTCCCATGGTGCTGTTCTGCACTCTCTGGATTTAAGCACAGGCGGCACTTTCCAACCCCACCCAGCACAAGGTGGAGGAGGACCAAGGGAGACAAGATGAGATGTCGGGAATATTCCCTCCTCACCAGACGGAGCCCCTCCCGCTCCCGCTGGGCATTTCTCCCTGGGGCACTTTTGGCCTCAGAACCTCAGGGGCTCCTGGTGAAGCCTGTGCAGCCCTGAGCCCAGTGTCCCAAAGGAAGTGCCCCCCAACCCCCGCCACTGTGTGGTCCAAAGTTCTTGCACCCGTTTGGGACCTCAAGCCAAACAAGTTGTTGGGGCAGCAGCAAGATCTCCATCTGCTATGGGTCACATGGTGAGTTTGGGGACACATGCTGGCTGGCAAGGTGGAATAGGGGGATCCGGGGTGCTCACCTGCTCCAGCCTTGGGCTGGCCATGGCATCTTTCTGAGCCCTAGCTTCTGGATCCCTCAAATCAAGATGATGAGAACATTCATCTCAGACCCACCCACTGCCAGCAGGTGGTGATGGGGAAAGATGCCTGACTTTTGTGAGCAGGGACCAGGGAGAGGGAAGCTGACCAGGGAGAGGAAAGCTGGCCAGGAAGGAATTAGAAGCTAGAGAAATTAAAGCTTAAATTTACTGGGCCCTTGATGGGACAGACACTGTTCTGCCTTTGTGTCTTACTCATTTATTACATCCTCAACCCAGTTCCAGGAGGTGAGGATATTATTATTCCCATTTCACAGATGAGGAAACAGGCACAGAGAGGTGAAGTACTCCAGGTCCCCCAGCACTTAAGTAGCATGGTCCAGACTAATTCTCAGGGCACCCCTCTTAGCCAGCGCATGCTGGCCTCTCCTCAGGGGTGCAGCAAAGAGGGAGCCAGGGACTCTGCCCTCTTTGCCAGAGCTCTCTTCAACACCTCACTTCGGTCCAGTTTGCAAGCAGGCTGGGCCTCGGGCCGAGAGGTGGGGGAACTTCTGGAAGCGCAGAAACTTGTGATCAGTGGGAGGCTGCAGCTGGGAGTGAGCTGAAAGAGTGAGCTGGGCCACAGTATACAGTCGAGCTGGTTGTTCACTGCACAAGGGTACCTGGGTCAGTGGGCTGAATGAATTGGAGGCTCTATGTGTTCTGAAGGGATCAAGCTGCTATGTGGGCTGTGCCTTCCCCTGGAAAAACCCAGCCTCCTTCAGAACAAAACAGAGGGCAGGATATGAGTTAGTGAACAGAGGGCTGAAGGGTCCCAGGGCCATGAGTCAGCTGGGGAGGGGACCTCAGTCACTGGGTTGCGCTCCTGTGAGGGCTGTCCTGACCAGCAGTTGCCACCTGGAAGCCCTTGACCAAGGGTGTGTGCCGCGATGTTCATGCTGTCTCGCTGCAGAGGGTTGAGGGGCAAATAGGCAAGGCTTAGTTCCCCTGCCCTTGCAAGATGGCAGTCACGGGCAGGGAGCCACAGGATCTGTGCCTGGAGCCCTAGTACCTGCCCTGGGCCAAGGCTGTGCTGTGGTTTCTGCGGCCAAGGTCACAGCTCTGCCCTGGGGTCAGAGGCAGGAGGGGGTTCCTGGAGGAGGCTGGTGGCTGGAAGCCAGGGCTAGGATCTGCACTGAGTCCAGCTTGCTCCAGGGAGGGCCATGAACCAGCCCTGCCTTGAGGTTGGGCAGAGAGAGAATTCATTGAGGAAGGTCAGTTGCCCTTTCAAAGGCTGTGCCTGTGGCTTGAGGCAGGACAGCTTCAGTGGGTCCTGGCTTCCCTGCTTCTGACTGAGTGACCTGGACAAGCCTTCTGAACCCTACCTTCCCCATCCATGAGATGGGGGTAACAGTGGTCCCTGCTTTGCCAGACTGCTGGGAGGATTAGGGGAGATGATGGGTGTCAGGTGTCCTGCCTGGGATCTGGCAAGAGCAGATGTTCAACATCTGTCAGGCCTGCCCTCCCTCCAGGGCCAGGCGTGGCAGGAGCACTGGGTGTCAGAAACAGGAGCTAGGGCGTTTAGGGTTACCTGTCAGACTCCGGGCAGGTTTGCAGTGGGGGGAGGGGGGGGGCAATATGGCAGGCATCTTGAGTCCTCCCCAGCCAGACTAGCCTGTGGACTTGGCCTCACCTAAGCACCCCTCCTGATTGCCTAGAGGGACCCAGCTGCCCAGACTCTGTCCCCAGAGAGACTAATGACCCTGTAAGGAAGTGACTCTGTCTTCAAGCATTCAGCTCAGATTCCATTATCGGATATTGGTCCAACTGGGCTCACTCCCTGGGACTCCCATGGTCCTGCTGAAAAGTGGAGCCTCATTACATCTTGAGGGACCAGGGCAGGGAACGGGGCTGAGGGGATTTCTCCCAGGTTGGGGCTCCTGCCTCTCTGGCTCCTCCCCATCTACCACCACCAGCCCACATGGTTTATCCACTTCCTCAAAGCTCAATTCCGCTGGAACATTTACACTGCTTTTTTCATTTATTATTACTAACCCTTGTGAGGTGGCTCAGACGGTAAAGAATCCACCTGCAATGCAGGAGACCTGGGTTCGATCCCTGGATTGGAAAGATCATCTGGAGAAGGGAACAGCTACCTACTGCAGTATTCTTACCTGGAGAATCCCATGGACAGAGGAGCCTGGAGGGCTGCAGTCCATGGAGTCGCAAAGAGTCGGACATGACTGAGCGACTAAGCACAACCTTTGTGAGAATAACACGTTAAAGAGGGCTTTCCTTTAGTCCTCATGACAACATCATTTTACCAGTGGAGAGACTGAGGCTCAGAGAGGGTAAGCAGCTCACTCATTCTTTCTGATGCCTTTCCTACAACATAAGTGTAGGGGCTCCTAGGCAGGAACAAGGGTGGGTGCAGCTGGAGCCCCAGGGGCCTATGCACCACCCCTGTGAAAAGCTGAATCAGTGACCAAAGAAATCAGTGTGCCTGAGGGCCCAGGAATAGAGGGGAGCCAGAGCCCTGTCAGGAAGATCTGCTGGGGAAGGGATAGGCTACCCACTTCAGTATTCTTGGGCTTCCCTTGTGGCTTAGCTGGTAAAGAATTCACCTGCAATGTGGGAGACCTGGGCTCAATCCCTGGGTTGGGAAAATCCCCTGGAGAAGGGAAAGGCTACCCACTCCAGTATTCTGGCCTGGAGAAACTGTACGGTCCATGGGATCACAAACAGTCAGACATGACTGAGCCACTTTCACTTCATTTCAGAGCCCTGTTGGGCGGGTGGGTGGAGGCTTATGGTCACTGACGAGGGTGAGGAAGAGGAGGTCCTGGAAGAGATGGACGTTCGGAGGGAGGGGTTCAGGTTGCTCTGTGAGGAGTAGCGCCTCGATGTTCGAATTTTGGGGCATTTGGGAACCAGAAAGGTCTTTAACCTCCTCCTCTCCAAGAGTCCCCAGGACTCCTCCCCAAGACTCTGCACCTCCCCGTAGGCGTAGAGAGGAGCCCTGGCACTAGTACTGTCATTCTAGAACTTCAGCAGGGTCTCCACCTCCTGACCTCTGCATCCTATCTGGTGGTGGGCAAGCAGATGCCTGGAGAGTGGACCAACTGGCGGCAGGGAAACCTCGGGGTGGGCAAGGTGACCACAGCCAGGTGGTCACAGCAGCCGTGAGAGACAGGAACGCCAGCCTGAGGGTGAGCCTTGACCCAGTGCCTCCCCAGCGTGGCCCTGGGCCAGTCACCTCCAAGTGTCCCTCCCTGGCACTTATAAAATGAGCACCAGACGACCTGGGCGGGTTGAGATCAAATGAGCCTGAGCACGTGGGAGCCGGTGGCCGGGGAGCAAGAGGCAAGCTCAGGGCATGGGGTGGAGGCCCGGTCGGCTATCACCAGCAGCTGGGTGCAGGGGAGGATGGCAGTCAGGGACACGAGGGGCTCCCAAGGGAGGGACCGAGGGATCACAGGAGAGGTCAGGGCCGGGGCGGGCCGGGGCAGGAGGCCAGCCACGCCAGGAACAGTTGGGTTAATAGAACATGAGCTGAAAGCTTAACTGGGGGTGGGGTGGGAGGGTTAGGATTCTGATGCCAGCAGAAGCCTCCTTCCAGCCACCTGGGGTACAGAGGTCCTGGGGTGGGTTTGCCTGATCTTTCCCTTCCTGCAGGCGAGGGGTGTCCCCATCGTGTACCCCACATCGGGCCAGGTCAGGGAGACCTACACAGCTATGCACTTTCCCTCCCCTTTCTCCTGGGCCAGCCTCCCAGCCCCCACAGCAGCCCCCGCACTGCCCCAGGACCCCTCCTGGCCTGAGCCCTGTGTCCTGCTGGAACACAAGACACAAGCTGCTGGGGAGGCGCCCAGTCCCCAGTTAGGCCCTGCCAGGTCGGGAGGGAGCCACGGCCTCGGCAGGCTGCAGAAGGGCTGGGGACAGGGGACCTGGGGTCTGCTCCCCCACTGATCTGACTTTCTCCAGAGGGGCTGGTCAGCTTGGTCCGCAGAGAGCGGGGAGCCTGGTGGGTTAGCTCACCGACTTCCTAAGTGGGGGAGATTCTGCAAGCACCAGGGTCACCCCTTCCAGAATCCTCCAAGCCCAGACAGCCTCTGCCACACAAGCCAACCTCACAGGCTTGCATCTAGGCTCCTCGTAACCGTTTTCAGGGGGGAAAAAATCTGAACTCAGAGAGATTGCTGGATTATCCCTGAGGCCACCAGCTTCCGAGAGTGGAATCAAGGCAAGGGGCCTGGACAGGTTGCTCACCTGGGTGGCCAGCATAGGGGCAGGGACAAAGGCTTGTCCCTGGGGCCAGAACGAACAAGTAGAAACAGACCCAAGGGCAGGAGAGAAAAGAGGTGGCCCAGACAGGGAAAGGTGGGGAAGGCAGAGATAGTCTAAGTCTCACAAGAGGAGAGGGAGGGCAGGGATGGGCCAGATCAAGGAGGTAGGGTATTGGGGACAGAGCTGGTCAGGGCCCAGGGGCAGGGGAAAGCAGAGAGGATCCAGGCCAAGGTGGGGAGGAGGAAGCTCCTCCTTGTCCTCGACTTTCTATTTTAAGTCTAATCGATGCTCTAGGGGCTCAGGGTGGAGCTTGGAGCTTCAGTCAATGTGGGATGGGGTGAGTCCGTGTCCTTGGGGCTCAGAGGGCTGCAGACCCAGGCTCTGGCCCTTCTGCACTCTCACCCTGATTCCCAGGGCCTCTCATGGACACTGGGCCATTTCCACCTTACCTCACCTTCCAGGTAAAAAGGCCCCAGAAGCTGATTCCTGAGGCTTGTGTCCCAGCTTTACCACTTCTTATTCTTTTGACCATGGGCAAGTTAGTTAGCCTCTCTGTGCCTCAGTTTCCCCATATGTCAGATGAGGATAACATAGTAGTATCTGTTCCATTGGGTTGTTTGTTGAGAAGATCAAATATGATGATATTTAAAGTAGTTTGAGCTTCCCAGGTGGTGAAGGGGTAAAGAATCCGCCTGCCAATCCAGGAGATTCAGGAGTCGTGGGTTCAATCCCTGGGTTGGGGAGATCCCTTGAAGGAGGAAATGGCAACCCACTCCAGTATTCTTGCCTGGAAAATTCCATAAACAGTGGAGACTGGCGGGCTACGGTCTATGGGGCTGCAAAGAGTTGGACGTGACTTAACGACTGAGCACGCATACACGTAAAGTATTCAGAACAGTGCCTGACACATACCAAGGGCTCATGAAGAGTAGTAGTCTAGGCAGTTGACCAGGAAGCCGCCTCGCTCCAGACTACGGGATTTTGTAACACTGGGGCTCCCCTCCTTCTTGTAACCTACTCCCCTCCAAAAAAGACAGCCAACAAACTTCCTCACATCTGTACAGGTTGGTGGTGGGCCCCTCATCTGGGAATCTGGATTTTAGCCTTCTTGAATGGCCAGGGGTGAGAAGGCTCCGGCCCCGCGTAGGCCCTTCTGCTTCCAGATCTTTTGTAAGACTTAAGGCTTGCGGTGGGCATGGGAGCTGAGAAGGCCGACTCCCACTCAGCCCAGACTCTCCTGCCCCTTATCTCAGGGTCACTTTCCTTCCAGGCTCACTAGCTTCAGGTCTGGAGTCCCCACCCCCCACAGTAGCTGGGCGCCCAGGCCTGGGAGGGCAGCCATCTTGCTCAGGCCTGGTACGTTGCCATGACAACCTGGAGCCTCCCAGCCCCACTGCAAAGGTCCCTCTGAAAAATTTATCGGGAAAACTTCCGTGTTTAAAAATTAACCATGGGATTGAAATATTAAAGATGAGCTGCTTTGGGCGAGGCAGAGGGCAATGGACTTGAGGGTAGAGGAGCCAAGTTCTTTCCTCCTGACGGGCTGGTATTCGCCCATCACCCCAGCTTCCAGGGGCCCTTCAATCAATTCTAACCCTGTCTGCAGCGTACAAGGCCTCTTCCATAAGTTGAGGCTGGGACCAATGTAGGGAGGGGGACAGGAAGTGGAGGGCCTGCTTCATTGGGCCCCGGGGTCACGCTGCACCCCATCTCCTGTTTGCCTCTTCCCCGTGATACTTCTAGGGGCCTCCCTTCAGTCCACCTGGGAGTCGGGGTGGCCCTGCCAACAGCAGGGACGGTCTGCTGTGAGGCAGCAGGCAGGCTGAGCTGCCTCAGTCCTTCCTTGCTGCTCCTATAGACTGGCCCCAGGGAGGCACCTACGCCAGAGAGGGTGGGCTGGCACCCAGAGAGCAGGGAGGCCAGTGCCCAGGGATGCCCACGCCTGCCCCTCCACCTCAGGAAAGGAGCAGGGTCTTGGAGGAAAACATCTTCTCTCCTAATCAATGGTCCCCACAGCTGCTGGGGCTGGGCCATCCCCTCCCCAGGGCTGCTCCCGGTACCCAGGCTTCCCTGGCCCCCCAGTTCCCACTTCCAGGCCTCCCCAGGTCAACTCCCCTTCTGCCTTCCCTCCTTTCTCCCAGCCTGTCCATCTGGCCCAGGTGAGCTTCGTCATCCCAGCCTTCAACTCCAACTTCACTCTGGATCTGGAGTTGAACCAGTGAGTGTGGCCTGGTGTCCAGGGGCTGAGCACCCCGTGGGCGGGCAAGGCATGGCCTGGGCTTGTCTGGCTGTGGGGGCTGGGGGCTGGGCTGGGGCAGGGGGCCCGGATCTGAGCGGGATTGGGTCCCAAGCAGGACCCAGCCCCACCTTGACCCCCTTCTTCCTCCTGCCCACTCTGTTCCAGTCATCTTCTCTCTTCACAATACGTGGAGCGCCACTTCAGCCGGGAGGGGCCGACCCAGCACAGCACCGTGAGTGCCTTTGGAAGGGGCCAGGGAGGTGGAATGACGGGGAAGGTGGTCGGTGGAGGTGGGCTCAGGGGTATACTCTGCACTGGGGATGGGCCTGGCCCCTCCAGGATCAGAGTCAGGGCGGCTTGTCAAATGGTGTGGAGCTCTGAGCTGCCCAACTCCAGGGGACAGACCCCCAGCCGGCCTGTCTGCCAGCCTGGAGACATTTCAGGACCCCCCAGTGCTCAATGGCCAGAATCTTGCTCAGCACCAAGGCCCCAGGAATTACTGGCTCCCTGGGACCCCAGGGTCCCAGGCCCGAAGTCCCAGGGGTGTGAGCAAAGATGAATGAGTGTCTATAAATAGCCTCGGCCCTCCCCCTCCAGCTTGTTCAGTAACTGGAGCACAAGTAATTCTGCAGGAAGCAGAGGCGAGGGGGTGTCAATCCCCTCTGACCCACAAGCCGGGCCGGGAGGACACGCGCTGCTGTTCCTCAGCCGCAGACCACGTGACCAGGGGTGGTCCACGGAGGCTGTGGCATCTGTGAACACATTATGTGTGAAATGGTGTGTGTGTGTCGGGGGTGAGCCCATAGCTTTCATCTGATTAAGCAAGCTGATCCATGGTAAGTGCTTAGAACACTCACTGCCTGGCACACAGTAGGTGCTATGTGAATGTCAGTTAATCTTCTCAAAGAAGTCTGTGACCCCTGTACCAGCCCCAGTTCGTGGTTAAGAGGCACTGATGTGGGGGTCCTCATGTTGTAGATGAGGTAAGGGAGGCCCAGAGAGGGCTAGGAACTTGCCCAGGGTGAAACAGCCAATTAGGAGCACAGCCAGAACAGAGCCAGGCTCCAGGTCCCCAGATTTCCAGATATCCCGGGATTTCCAGGTCCCCAGATTTCCAGCCACCTGCACACCACACGGGGCAGCTTCAGTAGCCCTCACGCGTCCTCCTGCCTTCATGCTGGGAAGGGGGCACGCCTATCACGCGCTCTGCTCCTCTAGGGTGCTGGAGACCACTGCTACTACCAGGGAAAGCTCCGAGGGAACCCCCACTCCTTTGCTGCCCTCTCCACCTGCCAAGGGCTGCAGTGAGTGTGGGGGGGTTGGGTGGGGGGAGGAGCCTCCAGGCCTGGGAATGGTGGGGATGGTGGGGAGCTGCATTTCTCTCACTGCAGTGGGGTCTTCTCTGACGGGAACTTCACCTACATCGTGGAGCCTCGAGAGATGGCCGGGCCTCGGGAAAACGCCCAGGTGAGCCCCTCCCCATCCCCCCCGAAGGCCCTCCCCGCTCGTCATCCCAGAGGCTGTCATCTCAGTGGCTGCGGCTGCCTCATCACCCCCCTCCCACCCGCCTCTGCCTGGGTAACCTCAGCCTCACTGCCCTCTGCAGCGACCCCGGCTCTGGTTCCCTCCTCCTATGACCCCCAGCTCCAATGTCCCCACTGTCCTCCAAGTAACCTCCCACCAGGCTCCAGTGTCCTTTGCCCCTGTCTCTCAGGGCACCCCCAGGTCTTGACCCCGGAATCTGAGCATCTGGGAGACCAGATCCGACATGGGAGCTCCGGCCAGTGCTGGGTCACCCTGGGGTGGGCTGGGGGGAAGGGCTGGAGATGTCTCCCCACACTGGGGCTCAGAGCAGACCTGGCCGGTCCCCCCAAGAACTCATCTCCCCTCATTGCAGGGACCCCTTCCCCACCTCATTTACCGGACCCCTCTCCTCCCAGCCCCCCTCGGATGCAGGGAACCAGGTAAGGGAGGGAAAGCGGGGCTAGGGAGGGGACCGGCTGTGCCCCCCTCACCGGCACCCTCCCGCAGGCTGCCTGTTTGCTGCGCTGGACCATCCTGCTTCTCCGGACAGGCCGAGGCTGAGAAGGAAAAGGCAGGTACGGGGGCCCTTACAGACCTCCTACTGCAGAGACCCCAGGCAGTGGTCCAGACAGGACATCCCCTTCTGTAGCCGGGGCAAAGGAGGGCTCTGACTGGTGTGGCTGGAGGTCAGGGAACACCCCTGGGAGGAAGCCCCCCACCCCACTCCCTAAGCCTAGTGTCTACACACGTCCCCGGCCTGGGCAAACTGAGGCTGCCTGCCTCGTACCAAGGCTGGAAGGGACCGCCACCAGTGGGGAGCTGGTACTGTTCCTAGTTGGAGCCCAGCCCCTCTCGAGTCTGTCTATGGCTTGACCAGACATGGAGGGAACTGATTCCAAGTGCCCACCCACCCCCTAGGTCCGCCGGGGCCACCCCACAGTGCACAGTGAGACCAAGTACGTGGAGCTGATCGTGATCAATGACCACCAGCTGGTACGTTCCCAGGCAGGGTGGGGCGGTGACTTTGGGAGGAGGGACTGGAAGCAGCCTGGCCCTCTGCCCACTCTCTTCTCTCCCAGTTTGAGCAGATGCGGCAATCGGTGGTCCTCACCAGCAACTTTGCCAAGTCCGTGGTGAACCTGGCAGACGTGGTGAGCAGCCCTCCCTCCCCTTCCCTTTCCTCCCACACCCCACACTAATGCACACATCCTTGGGGTGGGTGCTCAACGGCATAGTCATCCTCTGATCCCCACTTCCTGGAGGGACAGATTGACCTCCAGCCCCCTCCTCATCTTCTCTCTTCCTGGCACAGATGTACAAGGAGCAGCTCAATACCCGCATCGTGCTGGTTGCCATGGAAACGTGGGCAGATGGGGACAAGATCCAGGTGCAGGATGACCTCCTGGAGACCCTGGCCAGGCTCATGGTCTACCGGCGGGAGGGCCTGCTGGAGCCCAGTGATGCCACCCACCTCTTCTCGTGAGTCCCTCACTCCATGGACCCTGCCAGCTTCTGTTGGTCATTGCAGATCACAGAGTTACTGAACATGGCTCTGGGCCAAGTGCTCTTGCAGGACGAGGGGACTGGGATCCCCTTGTACCTGCCCTTGCAACAGTGGCTGGTCATCTTCCCCTGCCTCTTAGGCTGAGGCCCCTTTTCCCTACCCTGGTGACCTTCCTCTGCCCATCATCTCCCCTTCACCCAGCTCCCTCTTTCAAATGGTCCCAGCATCCCTTTCTCAAGGACCCAATGCCCTGGTACAGGAGAAAAATCTGATAAAAGGTCCTTGCAATTAGAGATGACCTATTAGAAATCCTTCATTTGGCTTATGTGCAAATGAACCCAAAAGGGGAAAGGGGCTTGCTTGAGTTACACAGGCTGACATAAAGGGCACTGCTCATCACCTCCCCATGGGGAGGCTCTGGTATGGAGGTTCGCCTACCTTCCCTCACGGCCCAGGCTAGCCATCAGGGAGAACAGGCTAGCCTGGAAACCCTCTCTCTTCCAGGGGCAGAACTTTCCAGAGCACCAGCAGCGGGGCTGCCTATGTGGGGGGCATCTGCTCGCTGTCCAGGGGAGGGGGCGTGAACGAGGTAAGCTGGGGGAGGGTGTGGCTGGGGTTGGGGCTGGAGGGAGGGGGCTGCAAAAGGCATGAGCATTGTGCCTTTTGGAGGGATGTAGACATCTTTGTGCTCCATCTTCTTCACTCCAAGTATGACAACATGGGGGCCATGGCGGTGACCTTGGCTCAGACGCTGGGGCAGAACCTGGGCATGATGTGGAATAAACACCGGAGCTCGGCAGGTATCAGTGAAGACCCCCACCCCCAGCCTAGACCCACATTCTAGAAGTGAAGAGGGTGTCCACACAAGGGGGACCGTCTTTCACCCTCCCTTACATTCACCTGGCTCAACTTGCAGGGGACTGCAAATGTCCGGACAACTGGCTGGGTTGCATCATGGAGGACACTGGGTGAGTTCTTGGGCAAAGGGAGCCGCAGGGTGAGCATTGGGTGACATTCTGGACCTGGCTGCCTCAAGAGACCCCGCTCTCGGGACCACTCAGAATTCCAAGAAACGCAGTTGTCTGTGGACACTGTATAGGGAGACACACATTCTCTAACCGGACGCCAGAATTGTCCAGACCGCAATGCGCAGAGTCGCCACTGGGCGCCGCCAAAGCCTCGTTTGGAGGCCTCTCCCCTCCTCGGCTCACAAACCTCCCTCCGACTCTTGGAGTCCTGAGGTTTCGGCGAGTCAACTGGAGCGGCGTCCCTCGCCCACTGCCCTTTGATGGGCAGGCGGGAGGATTTTCGTGCAGTGTCCATGCACATAGATCTTCAGCCTCCTCGAGACAGTGACCGAGTCCTCCGGTGCACCCCATCCCAGTCTTGAGAAGGGGCGAGAGGGTGCGCCAGCGGGCACTCAGCAGCACGGTCCCCTCACCCCTGCCCAGGTTCTACCTGCCCCGCAAGTTCTCACGCTGCAGCATCGACGAGTACAACCAGTTTCTTCAGGAGGGCGGCGGGAGCTGCCTCTTCAACAAGCCCCTCAAGGTATAATACCAGCCGCAGGGCGAGGAACGTGGGAGCGGGGCTCGGGCAGGGTCCCGGCCAGACTCGCGACACGACACCCCTTCCCCCCAGCTCCTGGACCCGCCTGAGTGCGGGAACGGCTTCGTGGAGGCGGGGGAGGAGTGCGACTGCGGCTCGGTGCAGGTGCGAGACGGGTGCGGGAGCCAGATGGGAGGTGGGGGACGCGGGGGTGGGTGCGAGGGAGGTCTGGGTGGGGAGGGTCAGGGCCCGCCTTCTCTCTGTGTCCCTCAGGAGTGCAGCCGCGCGGGAGGGAACTGTTGCAAGAAATGCACTCTGACTCACGACGCCATGTGTAGCGACGGTCTCTGCTGTCGCCGCTGCAAGGTGAGCGGTACCCGCCGCAGGGGCGAAAAGGCGGCGGGACCGGGAGGTACTGGACAGAGTACATGTAGGGGGCGGGACTTAGGGAGGTGGGGCCGTAGGGGCGGCGGGGCTTAACGCGAAGAAAGCGCCAATGGGAAAGGAGAGGGGCGGAGTGTGCGGCACCCTACGTTCTATTGAAGGCGGGGCTACGGGGACTGGGGCGGAGCACCTGCTGATTAGTGGTGGTGTGGGCGGAACCGTGAGCGGAAGAGGCGAAGGTGCGAGTGGGCTGGAGAGGTCCGGGGCGGAGCCGAGGAGAGGGTGGGGCCGAGGAGGCGGGAAGACGCGGGAATGCGTGGTTCTTGCTTGAACCCCGCAATGCATGCCTTCTCTAGTACGAGCCGCGGGGTGTGTCCTGTCGAGAAGCTGTGAACGAGTGCGACATCGCGGAGACCTGCACCGGGGATTCGAGCCAGGTCTGCCCGTCCCGGCTGCCCTGCGGACCCCCGAACAAGGCAGCCACTATCCCTCTCCTGGGTGACTGTTCTCCGCGCCCGTCCTCTCGGCTGCTGGCGTTGCCACCGCTGATCAGGCTGTTTCTTATCTGAGATATGAGTTTTTCATGCCTCCTGGCTTTGCTCTTCTAATCATTCGACCAGTATTTATAGTCTGGCTAGGTGCCTGGTGTGTACTAGGGATAACAGTGGGTAATAATATTATTTAATGTCTAAATCCTTATTACATGCCAGTCATCGAGTACTCCCAGTCCTGTGAAGTAGGTGCAGAAAACTGATGGGAGACTGGAGAGGCTTGGGGACCTGCTAAGCCATGTGATCTGAGTTCTGTGCTCTTGTCTTTGACATGGAGGGGCCCTGGGGCCAGAGCCCCCACCTGGCAGGCCTTTATTCTTCCCTGGAGCCGAACTTGGCCCCCAGTCCTGGGGCAGCTCCGTTCAATCCAGTGCCTCTCTCCACAGTGTCCACCTAACCTGCACAAGCTGGATGGTTACTACTGTGATCATGAACAGGTATGAAAGGATGGAGGTTCCGCCTCGTCTGGGTCTCTGGCTCAGTCCAGTGTCCTGTCTTGTCCTCAGTGTCTCTGTCCCCTGTCTCCTGATTGTCCCTCAGGGCCGCTGCTATGGAGGTCGCTGCAAAACCCGGGACCGGCAGTGCCAGGCCCTTTGGGGCCATGGTGAGTCTTTTTTTTTTTCCCATGGTGAGTCTTTTGTTGGAGATGGGAGAAGGTATCTGGAAGACTGGAATTGAGAGGCTGGAGGGGGGGCAGGCTCTGGTTGAAAACCCCTCCAGCAGATATGCAGCTCCCCAGGATCTCAGCGACTCAGCTGGACTTGGGAGTCAGGCCATTGTTGGAGATGCAGGCCTGAAGTCCCAGGTAGGTTCTGGAGTGGCTAGGGTGACGCTGGCCTCTTCTCCCTACAGCGGCTGCTGATCGCTTCTGCTATGAGAAGCTGAATGTGGAGGGGACGGAACGTGGCAACTGTGGACGCAAGGGGTCAGGCTGGGTCCAGTGCAATAAACAGTGAGTTGTCAAAGCTTCTGGTTGGGCCATCCCAATTTGGGGGCTGGGGCTCTGGGGCAGGGCAGGATTTTTTCAGAGATGGGACAGGCTGTTGAATCTTAATGGGAGACTCTGAAAAATTGGGGGATGGGGAGAGGGCAGACATGAGGTCTGTAGTTGGGTCTGAGGTCAGACTTGGGGCCCACTGTCTCCACATGAACAGGGATGTGCTGTGTGGCTTCCTCCTATGTGTCAACATCTCTGGAGCTCCTCGGCTGGGGGATCTAGGGGGAGACATCAGCAGCGTCACTTTCTACCACCAGGGCAAGGAGCTGGACTGCAGGTGTGGCTGGGACCATGGTTGGGGAAGAGGAGGTTGCAACTGTGTGGGGGGTGGAGGGCAAGCACAGAGGTTGGCTGTGCCATCTCCCCAGGGGCGGTCATGTGCAGCTGGCTGATGGCTCAGACCTGAGCTACGTGGAGGACGGCACAGCCTGTGGGCCCAACATGTTGTGCCTGGACCATCGCTGCCTGCCAGCCTCTGCCTTCAACTTCAGCACCTGCCCGGGCAGTGGCGAGCGCCGGATCTGCTCCCACCACGGGGTGGGTGCCTGGAGGCCAGGGATCGTGGGAGGGGCTTATAAGAGGGGACTGGGCCCTGCTTACCTGTACCGGCCGCACCCCACCTCTAGGTCTGCAGCAACGAAGGGAAGTGCATCTGTCAGCCAGATTGGACAGGCAAAGACTGCAGTATCCACAACCCCCTGCCCACGTCTCCGCCCACAGGGGAGACAGAGAGATATAAAGGTGAGGCTGGAACTGGCCAGGATGGGGCTCTGTCTTTCCTGTTCTCCATGCCTGCCCCTGCCAACCCCACCCTGCTCTCCTCCCCAGGTCCCAGCGGCACCAACATCATCATTGGCTCCATCGCCGGGGCTGTTCTGGTTGCAGCCATCGTCCTGGGCGGCACGGGCTGGGGATTTAAGTAAGACACGAACACGCGCCCTACACCCCCTGCATCCCCCAGGGTTATCAGAGCCCCAGGCTTTTGGAGCTGAGGGGACCTCCCTGAGAGGTTAGGTAAACCAGAGCTCACACATCGCAAACCAAGCCAGCCCACAGGGTCTTGTTTTTACATTTAAAAAAATCAGTTACTCAGGCTTTTAAAACCCAGGGATTTTATGTTAAGAATCCAGATTTCCAGCTTCTTTTGAAAAATGAGAAGATTGGGTCCCCCTATTCTTCAGTGTCTCCCAGCTTGGCCACAGAGTGGAGCTGAGCAGGGGCGGCCTGAGTCCCCAGGCCCTCCCCAGCTGTGGCTATTCTGTGGGCACCCACATTGGAGGCCCTCAAGCTGGTGTAACCCCTCACTGTACAGACAAGGGACCTGAGGCCCAGGGTCAGGCGGTGACTCAAATGCAGGACTCAACTTTGGTAGGCTTCCCTGGACCAGTTCTTTTTTTATTTTCTCTGAACATGAGACAAACATCCCTGGGCTTGTCATTAGCGACTAGGGACAAAGGAATGTCTAGCATCTCTGGGGCAAGGTGTCTCCTGGGAGCCAGAGGCCCCTCCCTGAAAGAAGGGGAGGATCACAGAAGGCTTCTTTTCCTTTCTCTGCCTCCCCTCGCCATGGCTCCTGAAGAAACATCCGCCGAGGAAGGTACGACCCGACCCAGCAGGGGGCAGTGTGACGCCGGCCACGTCCTCCCTCCCGCTGTCCTTGTCTCCTCCATCTCATTGGTCACCTCGCATTCTGTCGATGGGGAGCTGAGGCCGGTTCCCCCACCCTTGCGGTCACGGCTGTCACTCCCGGGGTGGGAGAACCCCGCTCCAGGAAGAGTGTCCTCAACGTGCCCCTGCCCCCTTCTCCAGCCCACTCACCGCCTCAGGCCTTGGTCCTTTAACTCCTGCCCTTCCAATGGTCAGCCCACCTCTGGCCCCGTGGACCCTGGAGCTGTGCGCGCGCCCCCACCACTCCTCCCCAGGGAAGGGAGCCTACCTCTGCGTCCCATCCGTTTTGTCTTTCATGTCGCCACTGTCTGACCTCCCGCCAGACCCCCTTCCCTGGCCAGCCTGTGACTCGCTGCCTCCAGGGCCCAGCACTGACCTCCTGGGGCCGGCTGAGGTGGGGGTGCTCTCCCTCTGAGCCCTGCCTCATACCCTCCCCTGATGCCCCCTCTCCGTTCCAGGTCCGGAGGGGCCTAAGTGCCACCCCCACCTCCCTCCGAGTCTGGCGCCCACCATCTCCGCCCAGAACCAGGAGGCTGCCCCCGCCCAGCCACGGAGGGAGGCAGCATGCAAATGTCTTCCGGGCCCAGCCCTGCAACTCCTGGCCCCACAGGGGCTTGGGGCCGGGTCGTGGCCCTGTCCTCACACCACCAGGGTGGACCAGGCCTGGAGGGCATTTCCCTCATGGTCCCCCACCCCACCTCATGCGGCTTTGGCCTTGCACACCAACTCTCCTCCTGTGAATGTAGCCTCCATCATCACAGATTGCCACAGCTCAAGTTGGGCGGGGCGGGGGAGGGCACGCAGCCAGCGATGGGCGTGGCCCTGGATGGCCCCGCCTCCAAGCCAGGTGACTGGGACCAGGGAGGGCCTAACCTTCCTGGGACCTAGGGGAGGGAGCTGACATCAACCTTTTATTTATTTATTTTTTTCCGTTTTTTTTTTTTTAAACTGAATCTCAACTGATGAATGTAACTTTGGGGGTGCTTGGGCCAGGCAGCTGTGGGGATATTTCGACATTTGCAGGAGGGACTGAAGGAGCTGTGAGTCCTGGCCATCCCTTTGGCCCTCCCCGCGGGGGTGGTCACACCTGGCACCTTCTCACTGAACGTGGAAGTCCCTAAGCCAGGCAGGGGGCCTGGCAACCCTGCGCGCCCCCTCCGCCCAGCCCTGCTGAGCTTGGAGACAAGTCCGAGTGCTGAATCAAACCAAAGCTGCCTGTTCCGTGCCTGAGGCCTAGGTTATGGGTACGGCAACCACACGTCCCAGATTGTCTTCAATTCAAAACAATCGTCCTGCTCTCCCTGCCAGGACGCATGTATTTGGGAGGAGGGTAGGGTCCTAGAATATATAGTCCCTGAAATAACATGGCACCTTCCCCCTTTAAATAAGGGTGATGCTGGGGCTGACTCAGGGTTTAGGTGCCACTTGGCATGGCCTGGAGGTCGCAGGCCATCTGCCGGGGGAGCACTCTCCCAAGGAGGGAAGGCCAGGGGTGGCCCAGTGGAGGGTTAGGGGTTCCGCCTGTGATGTGCAGGAGGAGGTAGGAAAAGGCAAGTCTCACGTTTGATCCTCAGCTTCCAGAAACGTCCTTAAGGCCCTGTCAAGCCCATTCTGCTCCTTAACACCATTCCAGGGCCGGGTAGTAAGTTTACAGTCATTTTCCCCGTTAGTCCTCCGATCTGATCCCCACTGCAGCTGAACCTGAGGCCAAGGCTGGGCAGAATTCCTCAGTCCCTGCCCATGGCCTTTCCTCATGCCCCTCAGTTGGGACATGAGCTCTGGCTCCTTGACTGCTAAAAACCAGCTGGCAGGGGCAAGCTGGGGATCAAGCTACCTTCTGGATGAAAGCCACAAATGAATGGAGCTCCTCTGCCCAGGGATACCCCCAAGCCTCCCCAGGGGTTTCCGAACACCCCCAGGGTCTTTGAGCTGCCTATCTTAGTTCCTCTGGGGCATCTGTGAGGAGGATTCATGGAAGAAATGGCTCCCTGTTTATCTGTACCACCCCTCAGGGCAAACTGGGGACGGAGGCCCACTGACACGCTTTAAGGTAGCTGGATGTGGCTGCAGTGGGGTCCTCGATACTGAGCTCCAGCTGGCACTGCCCAAGCAAGGGGGTGGGTGGGGTACCACTCTAGCCAGTCCTGCCCCACCAGCCAGCCACACAAGCTGAGGCGGGGGCGGGAGGCTAAGGGCTGGGTTTTGCACTATTGCGGCGGTACCTTAAGGCATCCTCTTGTGGTACACACGTGCACACAGGTGATACACACGTGCACACAGGTGGCGATGCATCTGGCACAAGCATTTGGATCCACATCTCTGCACAAGCGTGAATACCTCTGCACACATGGGCACGTCTGTGTGTGCGTGCACATGGGGTGGGGGTGGGGTGTGGAGAACCCAAGACTTCCTGTGACCAGTCCACCTGGCTCCCAGCTGTCCGCATCCTCCTGCCCCACCCTGGCAGCCCCCACCCTGGCGGTGCCCAGGGAGGGGTGGAGGCACACTGACGTGGGCCTGGAACTGGCTCCAAACAGCATCCTGTAAATATGTCATCTGGGGCTCGGGGTGGGGAGGCAGGGACAGGAACGTCCATTAAAGATCACGTCCCAGGGCTTCCATGGAACTCAAGGCAGCCTGTGTCTCCTTTCTGTGAATGAACACACCGTGGCCCAGGCCCCTCCCCCATGCTCCGTGGCCCTGGAGGGAGTGTGATGACTGGACACCAAAAGCGGGAAGGGAGCACCCAGGACTGGGTGCTGGGAGACGGGGAAGAAGGGGCGTAGTTTTCCATTCATGGCCAGGAAATAGGCACCGACTGGGTGGAGGGCCTGGCCCTTCCGCTTCCTCACTCTCCCAACAAAGAGAACTGTCCTTTCCGGTTTCAGCAAAGTAGATGGGAGTTGAGCAGGAAAGCATGTTAGCAAGAGGCAGAAGACTCAACTTCCCTTTTATGGTTGAAGCCAGACTCTCCTCACCTCCCAAGAGAGTCCAGAAAGCTGGATCAAACCGCTCTCTGGTCCCAAGGTGCCGTGCTTTCAGGCCTTCAGAGAATTGGCTCTTGCCTCACCGTGCCTGGGGCAGGAAGGGGCTAAGCACAGCCAAGGCCAAGCGCCCTCCCCTCACTGGGGGCCAAGTTTGAGCCAAGAACCTAGTCTTCCCATCCTGGCCTCCAGAGCGCTTTGGGCCTGGAGATATCTGGTTCTGAAAGTCCTGCTTGTTCAGGGGAAAGATAAGATGAGAGGTTGGGGTGAGGAGGAAGGAAGGGAATGGGAGAGAGGAGATAACGGGAGCAAGAAATAGCAGCAGCAGTAGGGACCTGGGGAGAGCGAGCAGCTAGAAGCTGCTCACCAGGACGGAGGCCCCAGGACCCCTCTGGTCACGTGCAGACAGAGCAGGACTCAACCCGAGCAGTGCTGACCTGGATTCCTGGTCCCCACCCTGTTCCGGCATCTCAGTCCCCCAGCACATCTGGAACCTCTGCCCCCAGACTCACCCACTGCCGAAAGTCAGCTTCTCCCCCAGTGGGTTCACAGGCGAGGCAGCCCGACAAGAATCCATCTCCAACCTCAGTCATGATCTGAAGTCTAGGCTTGCCCTCTCTTCTCTCTTCTGGGCTGCAAACCCTACTTACAGTGTCATCGCTTCTGCCTCTCAGCTCTTTCATCCCTGTCCACACCCCTTATCAATTCCCGATCCGTGGTGACCTTCAAACTTGGTCTGATATGTATACAGCTGACACATCAGATAGTAAAGTGTGGCTGTCGGACTCCCCTGGTGGTCCAGTGGTTGGGAATCCACCTGCCAATGCAAGGGTCACAGGTTTGATCCATGGTCTAGGAAGATCCCACATGCCGAGGGGCTACTAAGCCTGTGTGCCGTGACTACTGAGCCCACGCTCTAGAGCCCATGTTCCACAACAAGAGATGCTGCCTCAATGAGAAGCCAGCTTACCAGAGAGAAGCCCCCATTCACCGCAACTAGAGAAAGCCTGAGCACAGCAATGGAGACCCAGTGCAGCCAAAAATAAATTAAAAATAAATAAAGTGTGGCTGTTGGCAGACAGCTGGGGGGGACTCAGGGGAGCCTCAGCACTTGGCTCTTGCAGGTCAGTGCTCGCCACTCACACCTGCTTCTCAACCTCAGGAGCCCCCAGAGCTCCCTGTTATTTACATGGGTGCACAGTGATGCAGGAGGCTACAGAGGGGAGCAGGTACAAGGGGGTGCAGTGGGAATGCCAGGGAGGTAGCACCTCTGATGCCAGCACCCTCCCCCCACCAATCTGCCCAGGTGTCAGACTCTGTAGGCTGGCATGGAACAATCAGACCTGGCCCAGACAGATAATTGGAAAACTACAGGCATCCCTCATTTTGTGAAAGTTCACTTTATGCCCTTTTGCTTTTACAAGAGACCTGTATTAGTACCTATTTTCCTAACTGAAAGAAATTTGAAGAGGATTTTTGACTTAATTAAATAGCATTCAGCATCTGTTTGCAGCAGCTCTTACAGAGGCCTCGAGCACCCGAAGGAGTGTGACACCAGAAGGAACCACACTCAGCAACTAACGGCCATAGCTTTTTCTGTTCATTTGGGTTTTTCTTTTTTTGGCCATGATGCATGGCAGGAGGAATAGTAATTCCCCTGACAAGAGATCAAACCCATGCCACCTACAGTGGAAGCGCAGCGTCCTAAGCACTGGACCACCAGGGAAGTCCTTTTTCTTTTTTTAAACCGCCATACCTTTGAACTGTGAACATCTGCACTTTATCTCAATTTATTTTGTGCATCTGTTAGCAAGACATTTCCTAAGGTAATTGCTTCTTCACTTTACACCATTTTCACTTATGAAAGCTCTCCTAGGAGCACTCTAAATTGGACAGTGGGGAAACCTGTACTTACTTTGGCTTAGAACATGTCAGGCAGTTCTGACAGAGTGGTGCCTAAAAAGTGTGATGTGGAACCAGAAATTAAACTTGCTCTGAAGACCACCTATTGAAGGAATTCCTGAGTACCTGGTTTTTCAAAAGTAGAAACAAAAAGGTAGATAAAATGACTCCCAGCCTGTGTCTGAGTCTCCCTCTCTAAACCAGGACCTACTGGCTGAGGACTTATTTATTTATTTATTTATTTTGGCTACACCACTCGGCATGTAGGATCTTAGTTCCCCTGCCAGGGATGAAACCATGCCCCCTGCAGTGGAAGCAGGGAGCCCTAACCACTGAACTGCCAGGGACGTCCCTGTTGAGGATTTCCGGGTGGATCATGGGTGCAGATTTCAAGTCCCAGTTCTATTTGTTTGGGCTAATGTGTGGGTCCCCTTGGTGTCCTCATGAGTTGGACGTGACCAAGATTCAAAGCTGGGGACATTGGCACCTTGTGGTTGTTTAGAGTCTACTCGTGGAGTTGAAGGAAGGATTGCAAATTCATTCTGGCTCATCCCAGTATCTAGAACCAACAGAATTGAATGCAGTCCAACAGAATTGAAGGCAGCCTACACATACAAGCTATGTATGCATTTAAAATTTTTCTGGACTTCCCTGGTGGCAGAGTGGATAAAAATCCACCTGCCAGTGTAGGGTACACAGGTTCGATCCCTGGTCTGGGAAGATCTCACATGCCGTGGAGCAACTACGCCCTTCTGCCTCAGCTATTGAACCTGGGCTCTAGAGCCCAGGAACCGCAACTACTGCAGCCTTCATGTCCCAGAGCTAGGGCTCTGCAACAAGAAAAGCCACCGCAGTGAGAAGCCCACACACCACAATGAAGAGTAGCCCCCGTTTGCCGCAACTAGAGAAAACCTGAGTACAGCAATGAAAACACAGCACACAGAAAAAATTCAATAAAATTAAAAAATAAAAATTTCTGGTAGGTAAAGTTAATACATTTTACTAAATCCAATATGGGCTTTCCAGGTGGCGCTAGTGGTAAAGAAGCCTTCTGTCAAATGTAGGAGATGTACCCTGGGTCTGGGAGATTACCTGGAGTAGGAAGTGGCAACCCACTACAGGACTCTTGCCTGGGAAATATTATGGACAGAGGAGCCTGGCAGGCTACAGTCCACGGGGTCAAAAACAGTCGGACACGACTGAAGTGACTTAGCACACAAAGCCACTTTATCCATAATAATTTCATTTCAACATGCAATCTACATAATCATTGAGATGTTACATTGGTCTCTTTGGTTTTTTTGGGGGGGGGTTATTTGTTTTCTGCACTCTGTCTTTGAAATCAGGAATGTGTTTTCAGTTAAAGCACGTCTCAGTGTGGGCGAGCCATGTTTCAAGCGCTCAATCGCCACCTGTGGCCAGTAGCCACCAGAATGAACAGCTTGGGTTCAGACAATAACTAATGCTACTAAGTTGCAGTATCATACCCAGGCAACTTGGAAATCAGGCAAGGAAGGGAGAGATGAAACAAACTACAGCCAGAAAGACTTGAACCAGCTGCCAGAGGCAAGAGCTCACAGAAGCTCAGAGGGATCCTGGGTGTACCTTTCTAGAAGGCAAAAGAAGGGCTAGGAGGACTTTGACAGGATTGGGGAATTTTAATTTGACCTAGACTGAGCGTTCTGAATGTGTTTTGCCCTCTGAGCAGCTCTGGCCTCCGGGAACTTGCTGTAAGCAGAGGGTCCAAATTCTATCAACATTTTCAGAAGATCAGCGGGAGAGAGGTACCCTTGGGCCTGAGGCTTGGTGTTCAGGACACCTCTTCTTGCCGAAAGGAGTTCACAGGCTGTCAGTAACAGCTTCAGCTTCAGCATTTGGCCTTTGAAGATGAAGATTTATTCTCATTTCTTTAAAAAAAAATTTTATTTCTTTGACTACCCTTGGTCTTAGTTGTAGTATGTGGGATCCAGTTCCCTGACTAGGGATCGAACCTGGGCCCCCTGCATTGGGAGTGTGGAGTCTTAGCCACTGGACCACCAGGGAAGTCTCATTTCTTGAGGTGCCACAGATACATTTAAGGGACTGAGGTCTGCTCAGGCCCCAGGAGTTCCCACTCAGTCCAGAGACCCTCTGAAATCTGACCTTAGCTCTACATTCATGGGGGCTCTTCGGGCCTCCTGATGTCGAAAGCAAGGTGGGAAATAAATGTCGGTCAGCACTATGACTCAAGCTGTCATTGTCCTTTTATGATATTATGACCTGGACGCCATTGCCCTGGTGACAGCCCCGGAAACGTGCACTGGCAGCCCTCGGGGCAGGAGCCGTCGGGAGGGCTCACCGTCACCTGAACTTGGCAGAAGCCTCTCCCTGCTTCCTGAGGTTGATGAGGCTGCCGGCCACCTCTGCGTTCCAGATGAGCTGTAAGGGCATAAGTCACACTTGGTCCCCCCGAGTGCTGGCAGAACAGCCCTGATGCTTGACTGCCCTTTGTTCTTGCAAAAAGATATTCACGTGATCCGTCTGACCGAGATATCCCCCGTGACCCCTCCACCCCACCCCGGAGGGACGCCGAGAGTGTTCAGTACATTGATGGCCCCAGGGCAGCCCCAGGGTCCCTGGGCTCGGGCCTCGAGTCCCCACTGCCTTCCTGGGCTCCAAAGTGTTAACTGCTGCCCCCCTCCCCCCTCCCACCGTGTGACCCTTCAGGCAGAGTCCTGGCCTTCAGCCACCTGAACCCCTGCCCAC